GAAATGAGAGATAGCAAGAGCTTGGGAAAGCCTTCTTCCAGGAGTGGATTGATCATAGCTGACGATGACAAAATACATCAGAATGCACACTTAATATTTACATTTCAAGCCAACTCTTAATGGCGAACGAAACAAACAAAAACAGATGACAGAGATAAAAATGCGAATTTGCTTAGATGGCTTTTTTCCCCAATGTTAACCAATGAGAATTCCGTTTTGCCCATTGTAGTCTTTGGGAATTCGTTTTTCCCAATGCTAAACTATGGGAATTCCATTTTCCCAATGTGATCCCAACTGGCATTCGTTTAGTCAACCACGCAAATCGGAGGTGCATTGTGGTTTGTCTGTCATTTGCTTCAAGTCCTGTCCTCCTAACGATTGAACTCACGTCTCACTCACAATCCTTGTGAATGACCGAACACAGAAGATCCCTGGGTTTTATCTTCCACGAAACTCATGGGCCATCCTAAATCGCATCCGCACAAACCATGGCAGATGAGGATACCTGATGCACAAATGGAAAATTATAAAACACTCTCCAGTGTGCGACTGTGGTCATCCAGAACAGATCGTTCAACATCTAATGCAATGCTCGATCCACAAATATGAACGAGACATCACAGCGATACACTCCGCTGCTCCTAATGTGATTATCTGGCTTGACCAACTTGAATGTGGTATTGTAGTTGGCGGAGGAGCGGTAGGGCAGCGGTTAGCACGCTGCACTACACACCCGGCTGCCCGAGTTCGATTCCCGTTGACGGTCGACAACGGTGACGGTTATCTGAATCGGTCCTGGGCATCCGCGAGGTCGACTCAGCCTCAAATGAGTACCTGGTTCCGTGTGTAAACATCGCCACTAGGGAGACAAAGGCGGTCGGGCGTGGTGCTGGCCACCCACCCCCTCGCATGCCGTGCTGACCTTCATAGGTGCTTGACGGGAGATCTTTGTCTTTGTTGCTCTGCATCTACTCATCAGCCGTACTCACGATCCGGCCGTCGCCGCTGCCGATGTCCACGAGTCTCCTCCGTCTGCCGGGTCCCAGCGCTCTCAGGATGTTGCCGAGCTGCGCGTCCGTGGCCGGCACAAAGGGCAGGCACACGCGGCGCAGTGCGGGCAGCACGAAGGGCAGGCACAGCGCGTACACGGCGAGTATCGCTCCGCCCGCCACGCCAGCAAGGGCCAAGCCCCAGCGGGGCCGTGCTGACCCAGGGCGGCCGGGATCCCCCGTGCTGCCACCCATGAGCTCGTCCATTTGCTCGGTGGCGGACATCCTAGAACATGGGAGAGGTCGGCAACTTTTCAAAAAAAGACGTTTTTTGTTTTTGTCTTTGACTAAAATAGTTCCGAGAGCCGCATCACACGCAGAACTACGTGTACATGTACACAGCAGGTATACAGCAGATGGCGAATTCTAACTTAATTAAACAAAATAGGGGATGGAATAAACTGCGTCTATTTCATTGTATTCCCTCTTCCTTACTCTGTAACAATGCAGTTTGACCGTACATTTTTGTCGTCACCAAGACATTCCATAGTAACCCATTCCCTGCCAAATTGAATCAAGTAATCTTCACGTTAAATGACGTTTAAGATTTACATTTATTTAAAAAAAATTGGCTGGCCAAGTGCTCTGGAGTCGCAGGTTTGCCAAGCCCTGTTCTAGAACAAGAGGGCAATAAAACTTATGTTCAGATGTTCAAACACCAAGGAATCAAGTCTGCATTAATCACATACAGTACTTGTGAACATACAAACATGCTCTGCTAACATATGCATTGTCTTTGAAACGAATTGCCCTACACCAAAGACCTTCTCACACCAAAGACCTTGTCTCACCAATGTCAGACCAGAGGACGCCAAAAGGCGAACAGGACCAAGACAATACACTATCAGAGCACTTATATTTCTCGGGGTGAACAACTACATCATGGGACCTTTTGACAGGATAAAAAAGGTTGGGTGTGTTTGACCATCCTAACACCTGTTTTATTGCCAGGATGGATAAAACCGATTCTTATACTTGTAGGAACCTCCTAGTTACACCAGCCCACAGGGGAATATTGTGTCCGTCCGTCGTGCTGGGTGGGGAGGGAGGGGCTGGGTGGGGAGGGGAGGGTGGGGAGGGTGGGGAGAGGCTGGGTGGGGAGAGGCTGGGTGGGGAGGGTGGGGAGGGGCTGGGTGGGGAGGGTGGGGCTGGGGTGGGGGGGGGGTGGGAGGGGTGGGGCTGGGTGGGGAGGGGCTGGTCACCCCGTGGTGCCCTTATAAAACTCAACGTTAACCTACTCACGCCGGCTTGTGCCCGCCCTCACAGTCGGGCATATTTGTGGAATACACCACGCCGCCGTTGAGCCTGGCCATTGACCGAGCAATCCAACGTTCCTACCAGCTCCCTCCGCAGGAATGTGTTGTTTTTCACAAGTGTCATTTTGTTCTAATTCGTGAGAAGAATAAAAAAACCATCAATATTTCAACAGCCGCAATGCATGGAAAAATAAGACGGTGGGTCTCTGAATAAATAACGTTCACGAATCAGTCCTTAAAGAGTCGCAGATTGCCGACTCCCTGTTCTCGAAGATGATGGGAAGTGAGGATTCCCAATTTTTTAGAAGGCACAATAAAAAAAAGAGAGACGGGCATTTTGTTTTGAAGATAGGTTATGTGACAACTTTGGCTGGCTGTGTACGTCCACAGGAAAGTGTGACAGCAGTTCCAGTGAGAGATAAACTTGTTGTTAGCCGCACTGCTGGCTTAACAATCTGCTGTCCTCCCCCCGCACCTCCTATTAGCACGGTTGGCTACGTACGGTGCGAAAAAAGTTCAACATACATACTACCCATAGACTCAACACTGCACCTGCGATTAGCACGGCTGACTAGGTACGGTGCGAAAAAAGTTCAACATACACACTGCCCATAGACTCAACACTCCACCTATTAGCACGGTTGGCTACGTACGGTGCGAAAGAAGTTCAACGTACAGTAACAAAGATCCGAACTGGATACTTTAATCCTACGGCGTGACGCCAATACAAACAATTGTTCCACGTCTTTAGCATTTATCCTCGCCTCGCCGTTGACCTTCAACGCGTTTGCATTTTCCTCTCTCTCTCTCGGCCTACGGTGCTGGCTTCAATTACCAAGACCCACGCTGCGTAAGGAACAACAACAACAAGGAAGAACAACAACAAACACTCGTGTTGTGGGCTCCGCTTAGGACGTCGTCTTAGTAGGGGACGTGGGGCGTGCTAGGCGTTCAATGTCTACGACTGTGACCGCTACCGCTACCCCCCTAGAACGCATTTAAACATTGTGTCGAACACACGGCGGGTTGTAGAGGCGTTTCACCGAATAAAGTGATGAAACTACGTTCAGAGGCAGCAAGCGAGCACGCACGTGGTGCACGCACGTGGACTTACCGCCTGAATGGGGCGGCGAAGCGCACGTGGCGGTGAGGACGGTGCCCGCTGCTGCTGCCGCTGCCTGCCTCGCACGTGGTAGATGACGTAGGCGGGGAGGAAGCCAGCCCCGCTGTCAGATCAGAGGGAGTTTTTGTGTGTCTGTGTGTGTGTTTGTGTGTGTGTGTCTATGTGTGTGTGTCTGTGTGTGTCTGTGTGTTTGTGTGAGTTGTGGGGAGCGGTAGTGTAGCGGTTAGCGCGCTGCGCTGTGAACCTGGCGACCCGGGTTCGATTCCCGCTCACGGCTAACACCAGTGACGATTATCTGAACCGGTCCTGGGCCTCCCCTAGGTCAACTCAGCCACTAGGGAGACAAAGGCGGTCGGGCGTGGTGTTGCCCACCCACCCCCTCGTGTGCCGTGCCCGCCTTTACAGGTGCTCGCTAAGATCTTTCCACTGATCTGTGTTATGAATGTCATTTCTGTATGATTCCAATCATTCCAGAGAGATAGTAACATGCACGTGCTTACTGCCCGCGCACCTCTCGTCTCTCCCTGTACTTGCAACGAAGCTCCGCAAATTTTACGATTTTGACTATAAAATGATTGGAATCATCCAGTAATGACATAACACAGATCAGTGGAACAATCTTTATTTTTATTGTATTTTTTACTTTTCGTAGCAGCTATTTTCATTGGCTGTTCCTACCCTGACCGCACGTCCCTGATTACGATTCTACATCTCTCTCATCTCACTCTACTCTCACACACTCTCCTACCTCTCCCCTCTCATCTCACTCTACTCCCACATACTCTCCTACCTCTCCCCTCTCATCTCACTCTACTCCCACTCCTACCTCTCCCCTCTCATCCCACTCTACTCTCACACACTCTTACCTCTCCCCTCTCATCTCACTCTACTCCCACTCCTACCTCTCCCCTCTCATCTCACTCTACTCCCACACACTCTTACCTCTCTCATCTCACTCTACTCTCACACACTCTCTTACCTCTCCCCTCTCATCTCACTCTACTCCCACTCTTATCTCTCCCCTCTCATCTCACTCTACTCCCACACACTCTTACCTCTCCCCTCTCATCTCACTCTACTGCCACTCTTACCTCTCCCCTCTCATCTCACTCTACTCCCACTCTTACCTCTCCCCTCTCATCTCACTCAACTCCCACTCTTACCTCTTCCCTCTCACCTGACTCTACTCCCACTCTTACCTCTCTCCTCTCATCTCACTCTACTCCCACTCTTACCACTCCCCTCTCATCTCACTGTACTCCCACTCTTACCACTCCCCTCTCATCTCACTGTACTCCCACTCTTACCTCTCCCCTCTCATCTCACTCTACTCCCACTCTTACCTCTCGCCTCTCATCTCACTCTACTCAAATTTCTCTCCGCCACACACACATCCCACAAGTCAGTTGACGCAACTGACAAAGTGAATTGGAAACGCGGTAATTGCACAGCCTATGCACTGCACTGGTTTCTACTGCGAATATCTGGGAAGGGCACAGGTGTGGTGCTAGTTACCCAGATCCCACATCTGAAAAACACAGAAACCAAAGAACAGAGTAACACTTTTGTATTCGTCAACTGTTTTATTCCAAAATCAGGACAGAAATAACTTATATTTGGAAAATAAAACTCGAACACCTTCAGAATCCGTGTTTTGTAGGCTTGTTAAAATTACTTTCAACCCCTCGATCATTACACATGGGTTTGAAGAGTGGAGAGACCACGTACTGGAATGGCAAAACAAGAATCTTGGGTGCAGCAAGTTGGAATGTCTCAACGTGGTCAACAATGACCGTACAAAGAAATAACCATCATGAAGAAAAGTTTATCTCGCATTTTATTTATGTCCCAAGGCCCTGATGACTAAATATGATGATAAATACTGTGCATTTAATGAAACATCGATTCACTGATCAAACACATTTCTTACACTCACCATACCTGCAACGGATTGTAAGCATCAAAAACATGATCTATGAAGAGTGTACGCATATGATATGCTGTTGTACGTATGCTCATTTGGTATATATAACTGCAAACGAGGCATACAAACGAGAGAAAATGGCAACACAAATTCGTCAACAAAACGATCGACTTTTTAAAATGAATCGTAGCCCCAAGTCATGACAATTCATTGAACCACTGTGAGAGTGATCCACTTTGCATGGCTCAAATATCGGTGTTAACTTCACATGCCATGAACGGGTGGAAGCTTTGTGGTTGTTGATGAGAGAAGTCCACTTATCGTAAAGAAAGAAAGGATTGTGATATGAAGGGATAATTTTAGACCGATTCCTGCAGCAATTTGTGCGATGAAAAGGAATCACGCTTCTCTTTGCGGATTCATGCCGACAGCACATTCGGGAAATCGTTGGTGTTAAACATAGACCACTGTATATGATTTACAGCCCTTTGTCAATCCGCTGCTGGATAAAGGTATCTCCGCATTGTGTAGGTCATAGGGATCGGTTGACCATACTTCACCACGATGGCCTATGTGGTTTGGAGTAAGAGTGTGCCGCAAGACCAGTCAAAAAATCACTGCACCAATGTTAGCCGTGACCGGGAATCACACTCGTGGGATTCATAGCGCAATACACGAACCACTGCACCACCGAATCGAGCATGGATAAATCTATTATGTTTTTTTTGCAAATGATACGTGTTACAAGTGGGCTACTGGGGCAAAATGTACAAACCAAACGATACGCAAGTACAGTAACAATACAAACAAGATGCTAAACCAAGACCGATTCTTCAATCAAATAGTGAACACCGAATTGTGACAGTTCATCAAATCATTACATGCCGATTCAAAACAGATGACATTTAAAATGCTGAACTTGTATCTTCTCATCACAGGTTTTGGAAATGCCGGTTGAGATGCTCCAAGGGATACGATGGCCCAGACCGTGTTTACAGATCACGGTGGGATTTTTTACCAACTTTCTCATAGTCCTTCCCTCGCTGCTTCCTCATGTAGTTCACAAAGTCGGATTCCTGGAAACCAAACAGAAGCAAGGCTTAAATACACACACTGAATAGCCAGTGTGTGACTGTGGCTACGTGTCTCGTGTGCAAAGGGTGCTACGGAAAATAATACCATAATACCGTATTTTCCAGATTATGATGCCCATTCGCCCGCTGTATTTTAAAGCAAAGGTTGAGGGTGTGTCTTATAGTATGGTAAGGTGTGTGCGTCTCAAAATGTATAACTTTATTGTCGCCCGTCACAAGTTTTTGGTGCATCTGGCTTTCCCGGAGCATTAAATAATCTGGAGAATACAAGGGTAAAAAAACGACATCAGAAATGCAATAATCTGCATTGATATGGATTCTGTAAGTTGTGGCGCAGATTATTTTGAGTTCTGCTGTAATGACGAGAATGATGATCATGACGGACACTGAAAATTACATGTAAATTATATATTTTTGTATGATAAAGCATCCAATGAGCTCCTGCACGAACCGATTTCATTACACCATCGACTGTTTGGAGATCCTCTTGGGTATATTTCCTACTTTGTCTTCTTTAAAATTTTAATTATGTTAGCAGTTGAATGATTTAGTGGCTAGCAAGCTCACCAGTGACCCATATTTTATACTGCACAGCCCTTTTGCCAACCCACTGCTGGATGAAGGCTTTCCCGTGTCGTGTCAGCGACAGACGTTATTTGACCGTACTTAACCGTGCTGGAAAGTTTCAGGTTGGTGAAGCGAGTACCTAGGACATATACACACATCACTCGCAAATGATGTTGGCCGGGAATCAAAACCAGGATGCCGGGCTCATGGAAAAGAGCGCTAACCGATGTGCCAGTACTCTCCAACAGATATGTAGGGGAAAATGATAATTTACGTCAATTTCTATTCGATTGAGTCAATTTTCACAGTTGTGCAGTACAGCTCTCTGATGCGTTTACATATTGTAACACCGTTTTGTTCATCATGATGTCTGACGTTTTGGGAGCTGCTTCAAAAAAGTAAAGACGCTGTCAGCACCTGGAGCTTAACGTTGGACACCGTGCTTAACATGCAGTACGAGCCAAACATATATCGGAGAGCAATGTTTGTTCCGTATGAATTCTATTGGCCATTTTATAGATATTGTGATATAGTTATAACTTGGTTCACTCACCCCACGTGGGCCAGTGTAGCGTTCCAGTGCCCGGCCATAGGAGTAATAGCGGAATGTGGGGTACTCCTGCACATCTTCCTGTCCACAGATCTCAGAATTCCCTGCCTTACTGCAGTCAATGGCACCTAAACCCATCTGAAACATTCAGCATAGAAGCACACCATCCAGCATGGTTATAACAGGAGGGGACAGGTAAAAAAAATACGGCTAAAATTACCATCATCAAAATTTTTGGAGGTTCAACCAGGACGCATGATCAGCTGGTCGCCCTTCCCTCCCTCTGTCGACTCTGCCCACATTTCAATAGCCACGCCCACTCGATCACTAGCCCCCACCCACATAGTGAGTGGTCCCCTTGCTCATAGGCTCTGCCTAGGCCATTCAAAGTGGGGTATTTTATTTAGGATGGAAACCCCCAAAAAAATCCTCATAATATTACTCACCTTTCTGTCCTCTTTGAATTGTTCAGCAGCTCCTGTAAAGTGCAACATGGCTTGCTGAGAGTGTGGGCACCCTACATCGTTACATGCACACACGCACAAACAGAATTGGCATCCAAACACAGACATATGCGATACATCAGGGCATAGCTTTGGAGTGTACAAGCAATGCAACTGCAGCAGGGCCCACGGGGCAGAAAGGCTCAGGCACCGGGCTATAAAGAGGTGGGGACATTGGACTGGGGGCCCCATTTCATTCCTTGCAGCAGGGATCATGTCAACCACGCTTCTTTTGTATGGTGGGGAGCTGACCAGCAACGTTTATCCGTGCATGTCAAGGTTGGTGAGCGAGCCGATGGACGGCTTCAGGGGTAGCCTGGTGGATATCTGAAACGCTGCCAGTGAATGATTACATCGGGAGGGCAGCGGTGTTACTATGTAGTCCATGATTTTAGATTCAGTTGTTTCAAGTTAAAACCACAGCATGAAGTGGGAGGGAAAGCAGCCGTAGCAAGTGGTTATATAGTTAAGAAGGGGGGAGGGTCAAGGGGGGACAGAGAGAGAGGGGGTGTAACATGTTTTCTTGCTGTGGTTTTTCCCACCTGATGATGATTGCTTGTGTTGCAATCGAAACGTCGTGATTTGTTCCATTTTTATTTATTTCTAACTACGTGACTCTACCGAAAGAACCAAAGAGTATGGATTCCTGCAGTCACGAAAGCTTCAAATCAAGCTTGTTTCAAGTTAATTTTGTTTAACCAGGAGAGAACTCGAGACTAGGATGAGTCACATTTGCAAGAGTGACATGGGTCAGCAAAACGATAAAAAGCACAAATAAAAAGAAAGTACAGCCACGAAGCAAATAGAAAACAGGACAAAAATAACTGTGCCACAAGAGAGAATGGAAACAATGCACAAACACAAATCAATGCCAAATAAAAAAAACTCACTGCAGCGCAAGTCATCTCAGGAAGATTATCCTGAGATTGATCATAGTTCCACTTTGCTGTATAATTCAAGTGTCCCTTGGTGTAGGAGACAGCCACATCTGGCGTGTGGCCAAGCATTACCATTTTGTGTGTGTTTAGTTTGTTGTCCTTACCCCGCACCTCCGATTAGCACGGTTGGCTACATATGGTGCGAAAGAAGTTCAACATACATACATACACACACCCCTAGGCACATTTCCAGGCCTGCGTGTGAATTTCTGGTAATGCAGGACCATTATTCCCCTTCTCAATTGCTACCTTTCGTTATGCTTGTGGTACATAGACCTCTTAAAAACAAAAATCCTAGACTGGCTAGAAATATTGACAATGGCCTGTTTATAGTGTATAGAACTTACAGAGTTTACAAAGCACTCAGCAAAGTTACATGTGTGAGCACTGTGCACTTTGCAGTCATTTGCAATTGGCATATTATTACTGGGGAGACAGCACTGGCCCTGACAGACAGTCTATATAGGCTACACGGCAGATCTTAGTAACTCACATGGCACGTAGAACATGACAAGTGCATGCTTAGTCTTCTTGAGGAAGTCTCGGAGGTCTCGGCTGGTTAGGTGATGCACACTGCTAGGCCGCTGTTCCCAAGGCAACTCGGAGTTCTGTGGGTCTTGAGGGCTGCCCAGAGGCACATACACATACAACAAGAGCCATTTACCACCAAGTGGTGGTGACCTCACTCCGGCACTTGTGCCAGGCTAGGTGCACACTAACATAAACACATGCGCACACACACATAGCAGGTAAATTACAGATATGATCTGCCAAGGTCCATCCAACTGGTTAGTTAAGAGGAGTTCTATGGCACAACAATTATACTAAATATAGACAACTACTGTAATGGCCACTCACCCAATATTGAGCCTGCTGTGTGTGCGCTACTGTATATATAAAGGGCACGTTATCACCATATTCAGAAGGTATTTCACTTTGTCAAAGGAATCAAAATGCAACCTCAAGACCATGACTTCTGTCCGAAGTTGTTGTGGGCGTCTTAGCCATAACTATAAATTGCAAGGGGTGTCCGAACACCAACGACACCAACAGTGGCTGCGCCTCTTGCGCCTAGATCTCCCCCACGTAAAATCAGATTGAAGGAGTTTGTTAAACAGTGCAGTGTGTGACGCTCACTTGCGCAGGAAGGTGAGCAGGGTGTTACGGTCATGGGACATGGGCAGGTTGTAGAGAGGACGGCCCTCGTGGAAGTAGTAGAGGCTGGGCAGGGTCGTGACCCCATAGGCCTCAACTAGGCCCGCTTCCGTCGCTCCATCCACAGCTGCCAACACCCCAGGGCTCTGCAGTCACACAGGGGTTGAAATGTATAGAGAACCCGTCATCGATTTACAATTACTGGGTATCCGTCGTGATTTAACGGATAAACGCACTGCCTTCCATTCCAGAGCGCGTCGGTTCGATTTTACCTCCAGATGCAGCAGTTCAAGTGACAGGATCTCCATTTACTCACGTCAGGCCTTGGATTTAAGATGGCAGCGGCCGCCTCATACTCAGGACGAACCTTCCTGCTCACGGGACACCCTGTGAGAGAGAGGTGGGGTGATTAGGCCCGGAGAACACAGGTCGCGGACGGGCCTCCGATGCTGTTTTCACCACTCGACACCCACAGTGGCTGCGTCTCATACGCCTCTGGCAGAATGGTGGGGTGATGAGGTCTGAAGCAGCGCATGATGGTCGGGGAATATGCTGATGGAGAGGAGTGGTGACATGGGCGTGCAGTAGCATCAACGCACGGTTTCCCATAGAGGTTAACGGTCCGAGTATTCGTCCCATGACGTTATTTAAACAAAAGAGTAGGCCATTTGTGCTGGCGAAACAGTCAAACATTTTCGTATTTGAAAAACACTCATAAATGACCTTATTCGGTAAAGCCACATGGCAATATTACCCCCTAGAGTTGACAGACGGACAGGTGGATGGACAGAATCCCTGCATGAATACTTTCAACTTCAGTTGAAAAAATACAAAAAAAGTCAAACACGAAATGTGTCATTGTTCCGACGAACTGTGGGCCATTGGTAACCGTGAGTCACTGATGGAAATCCCACTCTCACACAGCGAGGGAGAGTTTACCTCCACAATCACAACTTGATTTTCCCACAAAGTGGTCCTCACGTTTATTCATCACAGACGCTCGACGGGCCACCACCACGTCAACCACCGTGTGGATTGAGCCCTGGCATTACGGACATTGGGCTGAGCGCTACGGGGGTGGCAGGGGGTGGTAATGGGAGTAGTGGGCCGAGGGCGCTGAGATGGGAGTGTGCTCGACTCACAGGGCGCGTAGAAGAGAACCAGCGTAGAGGGATGCGTGCCCAGGAAAGGGCCAAAGGTGCTCGCGGTCAGGTGGTGCACAAGAGTGTCCGGGTCCTGCGACCAGGGCACCATTTCCGCAGGGGGACGTGGGGGACGTGGGCTGCAAGGGGGACAAAAAAAAACCCCAATATCATCGTCATCATCATCATTATATTAATGACCATCGTCATTGTTATAATCTTTGTCCTTGTAATTATCATCGCTATCATGTTTTTTGTGGTTCTCATCATTATCAACATATTTACTCTCGTTACCTCCATCAGCGTGATCATTGTCATCATCATTGTGATGCTAACGCTGCAAATAACTGGGCAAAGATGCACTACCAATTACTTATACAATATATACATTTCACTGTTTACAAAACCCTTAGTCCTGAACAAAACGAAATTAATTGAACACCAAAACTTAGACGCACACTAATGAACATGATTGTTTTCATGTTGCGCGATTACATGAGAGAAGTGTAAATAGAAGAATCCAGAAAGGGAAAAAGGTGTGGACTTGGGCACGTTCTCAGAGGAGAAAGCTTAACGAAGGAAGATTTAGAAGGATGTCTGGAAAAGATTCCAAGATAATTAAAAACAAAGCTACTGCTTGATGACGTGAAGGAAATGTGGGTATACATTAACATGAAGAAGAGAGCTCACGATTGGCGAGAATGGAGCGAGTTTGAGCAAAGATCTACCATCTGGCAAAAGACTAGAGAGAAAATTATTTATGGAAGCCTCGGATTGTGTTTAATAATAATGTAATTTATAAAGCGACTTTCGTAAAGAATATCTACGTGCTGTACAAGATACAGCAGCAGCAAACGCTTAGCATAAAAATAACCCGTGAAACAAAAAAACCCCCAAAAAAAACAAAATAATACAATATAAGCAAATGCAAATTTGCTGAATTAACTAGGAGTTGAATAAATAGAAGAGTATACATCAGGTTTTGAAAATGTTCACAGACTCAGAGATCCTGATTTCTCATGGGACAGAGTTCCAGGGTCTGGAGGCTAGACGCAAAAAAAACCCGGTCGCCCATCGACAGGAGCCTCTGTGTGACCTGAGAACGCAGAGAAGATCTGCATCCCTAGATCTTAATGAGACCTTGAGGGGACTTTGTGGGTTTCAATGTGTCGCTGATGTAGGTGCGTAGGGTGGGTTGAGCTTACTTTAGGAGCCACGACACTATGTCCTGCTTGGTCGCTTGATAGTTCTCGAAGTTGAAGAGATGTCTGCCCTTCCTAGTGGTCGCAAGATGCCAAGGATATCACATCCAGTCGAGACAGAGGGCGGGTCGGAACAAAGTCATGTGATTACTTTACTGGATAAAAGTAAACTACGGTCTAATAAATGTGTGCGCGAGTGTGGGGTGTTGTGTTGGTTAGCGCACATCACTGGGCAGTACTGTGCAGGCGATCCTGATACAGGGCCCAAAATACAGTTTCCAATGTAGCCATGTTGGTATCGCAGGTATCACCCCTATACCAATTACTGTTTTAGCAGCAGTACTTCGGTATAGTATTGAGAATGATGATGATACGTTGTAGCCATTTAAAAATCCGCTTCTGGATGATGAATTCCACAGGTCATGGAGGTTTCTGCCCACAATTCATCATGTGTCTGATGGGATGTGGCTGATGGGATGTGTTAGTGAAATATGACAAAGCGTTGGGGTTGTTTGATGATACTTCACCATGCTGCTCATTGTAGGTTGGCGAAAGGATTGCTAAGGACTGGTACAGATATCAATGGGATGTGTTAGTGAAATATGACAAAGTGTTGGGGTTATTTGATGATACTTCACCATGCTGCTCATTGTAGGTTGGCGAAAGGCTTGCTAAGGACTGGTACAGATATCAATGGGATGTGTTAGTGAAATATGACAAAGTGTTGGGGTTGTTTGATGATCCTTCACCATGCTGCTCATTGTAGGTTGGCGAAAGGATTGCTAAGGACTGGTACAGATATCAATGGGATGTGTTAGTGAAATATGACAAAGTGTTGGGGTTGTTTGATGATCCTTCACCATGCTGCTCATTGTAGGTTGGCGAAAGGATTGCTAAGGACTGGTACAGATATCAATGGGATGTGTTAGTGAAATATGACAAAGTGTTGGGGTTGTTTGATGATACTTCACCATGCTGCTCATTGTAGGTTGGTGAAAGGCTTGCTAAGGACTGGCACAGATATCACTCGGCAATGGTGTTAGATGTGGGCCAAGTAATAAAACTCAAATCACCGGGTCTATCGTGAAAGTTACATTACTGTGTTCATTTCTTGTGAAATATGAAAACGCCTCTCATCTGCAACAAATTTAGTCGCAAAATCCTCACTCGATATAGGCGAAAGTTGGGTATCCTGTGATGCGGAATTCTTGCTTGATGCCATCAAACTCTGGGGCGTGCAGATTCATGCCAGCCAGCACCTGCACAACCACACATGGATGACGTTAAGCCTGGCTTCCATCAAAATATCTAGCAAGGAAGAAAAATCATCTCTACGCGTGGATTCTGTCTCGGCCTGTGGACCCTGGTGCAGTTGCACCGCCTGCACACTCGATAGCTACACCAATGGTGTGTGCATATATGTCTATGTACATACATTAGTGTTTATGTGTCAAAGACAAAGGGCAGTGGTGTTGTAGTTAGCGCGCTACGCTACGAGACCAGCGACCCGAGTTCGATTTCCGCTCACAGCCAACACCAGTGATGATTATTTTAACAGGGCCTGGCTCTCCCCGAGGTCAACTCAGCATCAAATGAGTACCTGGTGCACTGTCTAAACATCGTCACTAGGGAGACAAGACGGCCAGGCGTGGTGCTGGCCAGCCACCCCCTCGTGTGTCGTGCCGGCCTTCATAGGTGCTCGCAAGCAGAGTGCGCTCCTCCGGTCTGTTAAGGCTATACAGGGGATCTTTTGTCTTGTGTGTGTTTGAGTTGCTTACGTGCGTTTCCTTAAGCTCCGTGGCTGCTTCCTGAAAAGCCGGCATCAAAGTCTTGCAAACACCACACCCTGCCAAGGGAAAATGAGGCTGATGTGGTGCATCAGGCAAGGTGTGGGGCTAGGCATAATAATCCATTTTCTCTCACCTCACTATATCTCTGTTTTGAATATAGTATACATTTATATCTCACTATTTTGCATAACATCTGAGTATATATCTTGTCATATATATATTAACCGCAACAATGCTCGTGATTATTATTTATCAGACTTACAACTTTCGTGAGTACAGGAATTCATATTCTTGGTTCTTTAAGTAAAGTCACGTAGATATAATTTTTTTAATGTTTTTTTTTTTATCTACGTGACTTTACCGAAAGAACCAAGAATATTATTTATCACACGTAATTTTGAGCCAAACTCGGACCCATTCCTAACAGAGCGGGTTCTTGCCTATAAATATCTGGCACTTCGCTAGCATTGATTTAAGCTAACATTGAGTGTTGATGAGACACTGGATGTCAAAATTGCTCCAGAGTTCGCTTGTGTCGAAACAATGCTGCAGAAATTACGCACTCCCAGAAGGCAGTGTGGCTGACAGGATAGGTTAAGAAATTATGTAAGTTTTATCTTTCTCATGAGGAGGGACAGATGTGGGAGAGAGGGAATGTCTGCTTAATTATTTAGTGTCAGTTAAGAAGTTGAAGACAATACTATAACATAACATGACAATTTCCTGGGAGGGAAACACAACATATTTTGAATACATGTAAAAGGAGACACTCACATGGAGCGTAAAACATGATGAAAATGGGCCTCGCTTCATTCTTGACCAGGGTGCGAAACTCCTGCAGAAGCAAGACAAAAATGAGGTGCCAGATTTTAATTGAAATCAGTGTCAATGTATTTTGTATGCACAACCTTCCCGCAACAACCCCCCAAAGGTGATCCATAAACACGAGTTGTGTGGGATGTATGTCTTTGAAGTGTTGCGATGCTCTCGTGTGTGACCTTCGTCCATATTTTGTTAAAATCAGGTGCAAACCCCAAGGGGGGAAGGAGGCTTGTACATGGTTATGCACAGTCCACACGTGGTTACACAGAGTCCACACCTGGTCAGTTGTGAGGTGTTTGACGTCTCTGGCACTAGGGCTGTCTTCCCAGAGCGGAGCTCCAAGCGGGTCACGTAGAAAGGCAGTCATGGACTATAAGAACACACGGACGCGTACACAGATATCTCCCATTAAGGTAAGTGAACAATATGTCTCCTTCATATATCTGTCTCTCCACGCAAATAAGTATTTCTTACACAACCCATCTGCCTGCTGTCCGGGAGTGAATCATTTCAGCAGAATTGATTCAGCGCAAACAAACTCTGGACCGCTTTTATGACATACAATGTCTCATGAGCAGAGTCAGTCGAGCTGGAATCCACGCTGGTCAACTGCATGTGCAAGATGTTAAAGGCAAGGGGGAACCTCTCTAAGATATGAGTCCTAGCTCCACCGCAAAATTCGATAATGCACAATTCAAAATAATAATCTGCGTCCGTCATCGTGGACAATATAAATAACGATGAGCTTCAAACTCTGTCGGGATAAGTGATGAGAGTGAGCACCTATTTAGGTTGGCATGGTAACAGGAGCACAGGTGGTGTGGGCAAAAAAACACGCATGCAAAACTGCCCTCTTCTCTCCAGGACTGATATTCACACACCCTGCACTGGGAACCCTTATGCACGTGTAGTGACATAGAATTAGCGATGTAGCAGCATAGTGCTGGCTGCTGGCGGGGAAGGGGATCTCCGGCTTACAGCAGCCCTGACAGCAGCAGGCCACGTGATAGACCAGAGGGGGGTCTAGGGGAAAGGTCACGGAAGGGACACACCAGGAACCCGCGGGTAGGTTCTAGAAAGGGGGCGTGGCTGGGGGCGGAGCCAGGCCACGGCTGGGAGTAAAAGAGGGGCCCTTGGGGGGACCTCGGGGCTGTCGTGTGGAGTGGGGTCCCCGTCGTGCTGCCAGAGTCTTCACCATCTCGGTGTCACCAGTCAGGCAGTCTACCAACTGCCCTGACTGGGAACCGTAGTGGACTATAGACGGATTATTTTGGAAGTGTTAACCCGTTGGTGCGTGTTAATAAACAGAGTGCCTCCAACTCTTAGTGTCTCCGATTCAGTCACTACATTTGTAATGCCCTTTTTTTTCAAAAGGGCCTCCCCACACCATGTGTGTTGTGGGGCTTATTTCAACATACTTGTGAAGGCACGCAGCATAGACACGCATAGAAGTAAAGCACAACTATTTATTTTGCTGCATTGCCCCCTGATGTTCATCACATAGCCCCTCGGCCTTAGAATAACCTGTTTGTGCATGGTGGTCACGCAACCAAGCATTATCCAAGCTCAACACTGTATAGCTTAAGGGACCTGGTACATTCCATGTGATTTGGTCACAGACTGTTACTCGGTACTCATTCTAGGTTAATAAATCAAACGAAGGTTCTGCCCAGGTGCAGATATCAAGTTCAAATAGTGGTATGTGTGGCCAGAAACAAAAACTAGATTTCCAGAGCTGTAGTGCATTGCATTTAAAGTACTGTATACTACCATTCCATACGAATAAATAAATTCCCTTTAACAGAAATGCTAAGCGCCTATTTAGACCAGCACAGCACACGAGGGGGGTGGTGTGGCCAGCACAACGCCTGGCCGCCTCTGTCTCTCCAGTGTTGATGCTTACACACCGCACCAGCTGCTCAATCACGGATGAGTCAACTTAGAGGAGGCCCAGGTGGAAGGTTTTACTGGTCGGTGCTTCACCTTAAACGTCTCCGGTCGTGTATATTCAATGTGGAACGCGCCATCCCTGTGAACAAGATGCAAGAGAGACATTAGCTTTGCATATTCTTGGGTATTTCGGTAAAGTCACGTAGATAGGTTCAAAGAAAATAATCAAAAAGCAGAAAACTCGGACGCTTCGATCGCAACGCAAGCGGTCGTCTTCAGTCAAGATTTAGACATTAGCTTTGTGAGTTACGACTGCCTTATATTGAACCAAGTGAAGAAGCCAGTCTGATTCACGATCTCATTTGCATGGCACACCAGGTAAGGATTGGTAGGCGCTTGCCTGGGATCAAATCGCTCTCGTTGTGCCCAATTTTGTCAGATCTTGGAAGCTAAGAAGGAAAACATTAGCTTGGTACAGTCCGTGGATGGGAAACATCCTGTGACTACCAGGGGCTGTAGGCTTGGCATACATGCCTAGAAGGTGGCTACAGAAAGAGATTCAGGAATTCCCTTGTAACTGTAAAAAATCCAATCTGTTAAATAAAATGAGTGGGATTGGATAGGAAACGCCATGGTTCGAAGGGTTGATGGTATATGTTAACTTTCTGACCCACCCTCTGGACATCTGTGAAAAAGAAATGTATAGCTCATCGGATTCCTCCAGTTTAAATGAATCTGCTTATGAAGAATAATAGTGGAGTGGCAGCCAAGTAATGGAACACTTACTACAGCGACTTTGGCTGTAACGGTTCCACCTGAAGGCGGAAGCTTGTGTTGCCTCCGAAACGTCGTGATTTAATTTATTTGTTTTCATTTATTATATTTGTATTTTATTTTTTACCTACGTGACTTTACCGAAAAATCCGAAGAGAATGGAACATGTGTGAGAGGATGTCGTCTGCGGAGATGGAGCAAGTGAAATGAGCTCGTGTGTCGGTGCTAGGTGAATTATTATATCTCAGGATCGTGACAGGTGGCTTCAGTTTGACGAGGCCTTCATCCAGCAGTGGATTGACCACGGCTGTCGTTGAAAATGAACGACCACAATGACAATTCTTTACGACCGGTGGACAGAGTGGATTTTTATTTTAGGCAAAAAAAATCTTCAGCGATGGCACTTTTGTAGAGAAATAAAACTTTAATCCTGTCTTGACAATAAGTGTAAATTGTAATGTTTGTAGCGTGGTAATCCTCGTCCCCTAAATACCTGTAGTGAAGTAGCTCTACTCCATCCGCGTCAGGCACCACCTTCATACGAGCGCAGGCCTCGGCACCACCCTCCTCCCTGCGTTATACATGCGCGTTGAGACGATCTTTTTACTTTCTTTTTTTTGTACAAAAATACCTTTCCGGTACCGTACTTACCGAATGTTCTCACTTTTCACGAAGCACCGTCCGCTGACGAGTAACGTTAATACTCATAACATTGCGGTTGTAGTCCCGAGTGAACACAAAACGAGTGAACACAAGGCGAGCGAGGCAGAACTAATAATAAATATGATCAAAATTGTGACTTTTTGAGTTGGTGTATTCACAACAACGCTCCATGCACAACACACGCGGTTTGACCACGATGATGACGATGATGATGATGACGGAGTCCCGTGTGACATGTGAGCCATTATGGCCAGATAGCATTGCCACCTGTCCCGCTTGCCCCCCCCCACCCCCCAGGATCATCAATCTTGTAGTTTTTCCTCTTCTTCTGGGAACGTTGAGATCATTCACTTTGCGTGCATGCGTGCTTGCTTACGACCGTGCAAATCTTTTGGTCGTTTTTTAACCCACTTCCCGTGATCCAATCGAGCTGACATTTTGCACACAGACTCGTTGTGCGTGACAATTAATTTTCGTGAAAATTTTTTTCCAAAATTTTACACTCTTTAGGGAAATTTTTTAAAATATTTAATTACCAATTGCTTAATGGTGGCAGACAATCATCTGACCCATAGGTGGCAGCCATCTCAAGCCAGAGGACGAGAGGACTCTAGCCGCCACGCATATAAAAGATTTATAGTGAAAAACTTTGTTTTTACGGGTTAATTTTTTATTCCCACCGTAGGCACGAGCGGCCCCTTTAGTCTACAAGCCCCACGCGCGCCCTGCCTCGTTCACGTCGCGCTGAGTATTCTCGTTGTTTTACACAGAGGGAGGTGAAATCAACGGTGACGTTAATATTCACAACTCTCATACCCTGTCAACCCATACGGTTTAACGCCGTATTGTTGTACAGCCAATTTGAGTTTTCAGGTCCATACGGTGCACGGCCGTTTCAATACGGGCAACATTTTTTTTTGTCTGTTTGCGTTTCTCCCTTGTGGTGGGACTTTGTAGGATGAACGTTGAGATTTTTAAGGGGCACGGGGTGACCGATAAGGTCTGAATTGGTCTGTAATAAGGTAGGGCACTGATCAGGGGTTGACAGGTATGTACGCATTTCACAAGTAGTGACTAATCCCATATTTGCATTTCCCATAAATATGCTAAATTCCTCTTGATATGCAAATTATTTTGCCAAGGCGCTCTTCCCCCTCCAACCCAGCATAAATATACGCTCCAAGCCTGGGGTGTATCATTCAGACGCTGTCTTCTCGACAGACCTGTTCTTCACCTGAGGACGGCTGCTTGCGTTGTGGCCGAAACGTCGTGGGAATTATTTTATTATGTTTTCTTTTCATTATTTTATTATTTCCCTTCTACGTGACTTTACCGAAAGAACCAAGAAGAGGTATGTAGTGGTGAGTGTCCTGGTGAGTGTACTAGTGGTGAGTGTAGCAGTGGTGATTGTCTATCTGTGTTTCTCCCTCGTGATGGGACTTTGTACGACAAACGTCGAGATTTATAATAGGCACGGGGGGGGCGACCAACACCGTCTGAATTGGCCTGCAATAAGGTAGAGGACACCGATATGGGTGGCTGACAGGCCATGTCAGTCACCGTGTTCAGTCCGCAACGCTCGCTCGGCGTCCTCACCCGCAGTTGATCCAGGCGACGGTGGCAGCTCCAGCGACGGCGTCCGCCACGCGCTCCAGAAGGACGAGCGTCTCCTGCGCCGCCAGTGCTGCCGTGCGAGCCCGACGGGAAAGAGAAAGGTTTTCGGGAATAGCGTAAAAACAGCCGCACCGAACCTCACAATTATAATATCGAGGGCCTACCTTGGCTCCTCCCACCCTCAACCAGTATATATAGAAGGACTGTTTTCTTGGAATTTCTCTTACTTGATACAGCTGTCGGGCTGTGACGGTTCCACCTGAAGACGGAGGCTTGTGTTGCCTCCGAAACGTCGTGATTTTTATTTTATTTTTATTTTACTTTCATTAATTTAATTTTTTTTACCTACGTGGCTTTACCGAAAAAAACATAAGAATAGAATAACGTAAAAACACACACAGAGACGCGTAACTGCGTCGACCCATGCGGTTTGTGCAGGATTATTTTTTAAATCCTTTATATTAAGTTCGCATGCTTGCTTGCTTGCGTGCTTGCTTGCTTACGACCGTGCAAATCTTTCGGTCGTTTTTTAACCCACTTCCCGTGATCCAATCGAGCTGACATTCTCCACACAGACTCGTTGTGCCAGACAATTAATGTTCGTGAAAAAAAATTCCCAAAATTTTACACTTTTTAGGCAAAAAAAAATTATTTTACATATATTCAAATAGAACTCATTCATGGCTTTGGCTGAACGTCACAGTGTAAGAGCCCAGAACGTAACCCCTCCACAGGCCGTGGCGGAGTAGCGCAATTGGTAGCGCCCTCGCTTCCCATGCCAAAGGTCGCGGGATCGATCCCCGCGTCCTCCACAGGCGAATATATTTTTAAATCCTTTATATTAAGTTCGCTGCCACGCATATAAAGGATTTATAGTGAAAAACTTGGTTTTTACCGGTTATACTTATTTATATTTCAGATCCACACGGCGTGCATCCGTTTCAATACGGCAGCAACAACAGTAACAACAACAATTTGTTGGTCTATTTGTTTGTGTTTCTCCCCTCGTGATGGGACTTTGCAGAATGAACTTTGGGATTTATGAGGGTGACCAAGACGGTCTGAATTGGTCTGTAATGAGGTAGGCAACTGACAAAGTTCTACAAAGTCCCAGGACAAGTAAGTAACACAGGGGCCGTCCATAAATGACGTCACGCGATTTTGGACGATTTTTGACTCCCCCCCCCCCCTCGTCACACGGCGTCACAAAAATTCAGACCCCCCCCCTCAAATATGACGTCACAAAGCTCTGCCCCCCCCCCTCCCCCGCGCAAACCATATTTCCATTTGGAAAATAAAACATGCTTCAAATCGCTTTAAACTATTGTCATTGTAGTGCGTATTTAATGTGGCGCTGCACTCTGATGTTGTCGGAGGAAACATTCATTTTAAAAAGTATATTTAATCAAGAAGAACGTGTTGTCTATGTTTATTTAAAGTTGCGCATTTTGATGTGACGTCACATTTCTCACCCCCCCCCCCTCGTCACAAATGTCTGACCCTCCCCCCCTCTAGCCCCCTAGGTGCGTGACGTCATTTATGGACGGCCCCACAAACAAATAGACAAAAAAACATGTTTTTGCCCGTATTGAAACGTCTGTACGCCGCATGGACCTGAAAACTCAATATCCCTGCACAAGAACACGAGGCAAACCCTATGGGGTTAACAGCTATGCCGGTGTGTGTTGGGGAGCAAACCCTATGGGGTTAACAGCTATGCCGGTGTGTGTTGGGGAGCAAACCCTATGGGGTTAACAGCTATGCCGGTGTGTGTTGGGGAGCAAACCCTATGGGGTTAACAGCTATGCCGGTGTGTGTTGGGGAGCAAACCCTATGGGGTTAACAGCTATGCCGGTGTGTGTTGGGGAGCAAACCCTATGGGGTTAACAGCTATGCCGGTGTGTGTTGGGGAGCAAACCCTATGGGGTTAACAGCTATGCCGGTGTGTGTTGGGGAGCAAACCCTATGGGGTTAACAGCTATGCCGGTGTGTGTTGGGGAGCAAACCCTATGGGGTTAACAGCTATGCCGGTGTGTGTTGGGGAGCAAACCCTATGGGGTTAACAGCTATGCCGGTGTGTGTTGGGGAGCAAACCCTATGGGGTTAACAGCTATGCCGGTGTGTGTTGGGGAGCAAACCCTATGGGGTTAACAGCTATGCCGGTGTGTGTTGGGGAGCAAACCCTATGGGGTTAACAGCTATGCCGGTGTGTGTTGGGGAGCAAACCCTATGGGGTTAACAGCTATGCCGGTGTGTGTTGGGCAGCAAACCCTATGGGGTTAACAGCTATGCCGGTGTGTGTTGGGGAGCAAACCCTATGGGGTTAACAGCTATTCCGGTGTGTGTTGGGGAGCAAACCCTATGGGGTTAACAGCTATGCCGGTGTGTGTGGGGAAGCAAACCCGCAACGTTGTACGATTCGAATAGCATTAGCGTGTTCGCTGATGATTACAACAACAACAACAACCAACTTCTTGGTTCTTTCGGTAAAGTCACGTAGAAGGCAAGTAATAAAATAATCAAAATAAAACATAATAAAATAAAATAATTCTCACGGCGTTTCGGCTACAACGCAAGCAGCCGTCTTCAGGTGAAGAATGAGACACTGCCAAGCTAGGAGCTTATATATAAGCTGGGTTGGAGGTGGAAGAGCGCCTTAACAAAAAGAATGTGCATATCAAGAGGAATTTAGCATATTCATGGGAAATGCGTAGGAGGTGGGCGGGGGGGTTTCAAAGTCATATTATGCCCATGCATTATGCAGGATCAGCAGCACCCTTCTACGTGACTTTACCGAAAGAACCAAGAAGATGAATCCCTGCAGTCACGAAAGCTTTAAATCGAAACAACAACCAACTTCATCAGTACGATTAGCCAGAATTGTCGTGAAACTGACAAGGGTTTTTGTTGCGTGAGATCGCAATGTCGGCTGCTTTAACGCTGAAGTTTTGGTGGTAGTCAGGAGGTGGCAGTCAACGCATCGAGTTACTTGAACATATTTGTCTGGAGCTGTGAGCGATGCTCACGTCATTATTATCCAATCACAGGGGCGTCGATGTATCATATGCCAAAAGTGTCTAATTGACAGTAGCACTAGTACTATCGTCGCAATAAGTATCATTGGCGTCGTAAAATTGTCTCTTCGCATGCGCTCTTCTGTGGGTATCTGCTGCCAATGTTTTGTCCCCACGCATACATGTATTGATGAAGCGCTGTGAGACCCTGCGAGCCCAGAGTTTTGGGTTGGCAGAATTCATACCTGTCAACCCCTTATCAGTGCCCTACCTTATTACAGACCAATTCAGTCCTTATTGGTCACCCCGTGCCCTTATAAATCTCAAAGTTCATCCTACAAAGACCCATCACAAGGGAGAAACACAAACAAATAGACAAAAAGTACTTTTTTGCCCGTATCGAAACGAATGTACACCGTATGGATCTGAAAACTCAATTTCTCCGTACAAGAATACGGGGAAACCGTATGGGTTGACAGCTATGTAACTGTATTGATGAAGCGCTGTTAGACCCTCGGAGGCCTGAGTTTTGGGTTGGCAGAATGATATATTTTCATCTTAATTTTGGCAGAAAATAGTATTTGCCTACGTTTCTATCAAACAGCAACAAAACCGCATCTTTCTCCCAACACATAAATCGGAACCCTTGTTGTGATCATACCCGCACAGCTGTTTTATGATTCGTGGGGGACTTCCTTTCCCCGCGGTGGGGGCAGAAGGGAAGAGCATGAACGGGTCAAGGCCGAGGCGACATCTCGGATGTTAAGTATGGAAAACTTAGCACATTCTGTGCGGAGGTGCTTTAGCCGAGGGGACGGGATATTAAAGCAGCGGCACCATCAACGGTTGTGACAAACGACTATAAAAATTCGGTAACAATGTCCACGATAATGATGATGATGATCATAATAATGATGAGTTAATGGATTAATGATGACGTCACCCTGCTGCTGCTCTATATAAGAACGGGAGACACAGCAGAGCCTCACCATTCTGGCGAATTGCCCGATGATGCTGGATGCAATTACCAGCGAAACATCGTACTCAAATTGAAAATGTTGTGGTTTCACGCTTCAACACACCGGTGGGCTAAAGCAGTGAACTATTTGTCTTTTGTCAACCTGACACTTGTTTTACTGATTAGCCGTGTCGGGTGGTGGAGGGTTACGATACATTCATAAATAACGCGATCTAAACCCAAAAACGTTGATTATGAATGATGATGAGTGTACCCGAGGTTGCGTAGAGCACAAGGAGGTTGTTGCGAGAGCGGATGAGCTGACGCAAGCTCTGAATGTCGGTCACTTTCTCCACGGCGGAGGCGTTGGCGGGCTCGACGCTGTGAGAGAGAACCTGCGTGTTTGGCGAGGGTTTGTTTTAGAGTGAGGAGAACAGAGCTCGGTGAGACCGAGTGTGTGGGGGGGGGAATAGGAAAAAAAAGTTGGGGGGGGGGGGAAAAAAGTAACTTTTCAGTAAGCGCCGCAGATGCGCTTGCAGCGGCATTTTCTGTCTTCTGCTTTACGCTGCCACTTTTGTATAAATATTTACCTTGTAACATGCAGCTATAATTTTTGTTTCTCTTTAAAACTGTATTGGTGCAAACATCTGTAACAGAGCTGTGTATATTGTACAGCACGTAAGGTCTCTTAAGACTGGCAACTTGTAGCAGGTTTTGTCCGCGTCTTATTCCTGCTCAAAGAATCGATATTAGGGTAATTGATGATTTGATGAATTCCTACACCCCTACGTTCTACTGACCCTGGAGAGACAATCACAATGCCAATGATGGTCATGGGGCTGAGTAGTGTGGCCTCAGATTTTGAACTCAGAACCATCATGATTGCTCTCGTGCCTTACAAACTAAACTTTGTTCAAGTCATATAGACTAGACCATAATTGATAGAAAAGTAGCTATTAAAGGCTGTTTAATATTGCATAACTGCAGATATGACCTAGAGCTTGTTTGAATCGCGAATAGATCAAATCGTACATACTGTATTCATCCATAAAATGATTTTTTTGGGGTTAGATCGCATAAATATATAAATGTGTCGTTAAACCCACCACCACCCGACACAGCCAACTAGTAAGGGTTGTCACGTAAACAGAACGTGCCAATTCGTCACTAGTACAGCACACCGCTTGTGTGTTGGGGAGCCAAGCCACAACATTTACAAGCTGAATACTGTATTCAGCTTTGGAAATCCTAATTTGTATTGCTATCCACAGACCTCTATCTGGATGTCAGTGGTCCATTGGGGGTCAGATTTGAGCTGTAGCTCTATCCGTACCTGTCCACCCCATTTACCTCCTCCCCTCGATGGTTATGTGCCTGATTCAGCCCATCGAGACGACGGGGACATTTTAGACTGACGACGAATGCGATCACCTTTCCGTGGTCGAAAGATCTCACCTCCTTCTAGATTTTAAGCTTTCGTGACTGCAAGGATTCATACTCTTAGGTTTTTTTCGGTAAAGTCACGTAGGTAAAAATAAATAATAAAAATAATAGAAATCATAATATTAATAAAATAATAAATCACCTCCTGAACATCTATCCGTGAAAGAGAGCCGCATGGCTCATCGTATTCTTTCAGGCTTAAATAAAAATTCGGATTCAGGTGTTAAATTAGAATACTGGCGTGCCACAACTTGTTGCCACGTCTACTAATTATTCCCAGCCACCTATCATGTATTCATTAGATTTCACGAGGGTTGGATCGGCCTGTTCTTAAATGTAAAGCCAATGAAAAGGGTATCTTGTTCTATAGGTAATGGCATAAGCATCAAATGGGATCTCCCTCTGCAAGAGGCTCAGTAAGATCACTCCTCCCTGAGATTAGGTACAAGACACGCTCTCTTCAGGGCTCAATGGGATACTATTTGTCCACCTGGGCTTGATAGGAGACCCCTCCCCTTAGTTCAAGCAGAATGCTACAGGTCTGTAATTGAGGACTAATATAATAATTATAAAATAATGAAGGATAACTGCACGAATTTCAGCGGCTCCTTTGGCACTTCAGGCATTGAATAGCTGAAGAAGCTCTCGGGCACGCCGAGTGAAACGTCGGACATCGTGCCGGACAACACGCGGTCCCAGCAAGAAGGCACATTTGGAGAGCTACCACGGCACAGCCGCGAATCCCTACGCAGCGGAACCATCCCTCCGTGCGTCTACTCACCGGGAGGAAGCAGCACAGCAGCAGCAGCCGTCGTTCCCTCCAGCTGCTTCTGGGTCTGCGAGACGTGGCCATGTCCTTCGTTTGCTCGTCCGATCGTCCTCCGGTCACAGGTGCCCAGGCAGGCCCCTGTGCGGCTGTGGGCGGATGTGGGAGGGTCGATTGCACGTACGCACGTTGAACTTCTTTCGCACCGTACGCAGCCAACCGCGCTAATCGGAGGTGCGGGGGAAAGGACGAGAAACTAAACACAACAAGCAGTTTTGCACAAATGAGTTTTCAATCGAGGTTTAAAAGTGCATAGCTCCGGTGGCTTCCTAATATCGGAAGGAAGAGCGGCTCCAAACGGCCGCAGAAGCGCATCCGAAAGCGCACGATGCAGTGACCGACTTTGTTCGATTGCTGGCCAAACCCGCTTGCGCAGATGACCGAAGTTCGCGTGATTGTGGGGCCTCTTGGGCCGGTGGGCGCGTGGAGTTTGGTGGTCCTTAATTTTTTTTGACAGTCGTCATGTGTCTCCTTGGAGATAGAGAGAGCGAGTCACTATCGACCATGTCCGGACTTCGCCGACCCGGCCATCCGCACCAGCATCCACCCTGTGCCAGGTAGAGTGGTACATTCCACCATTGCAGTGGAGTTGGGGAATGGAACTTTGCAAGTGAACACTATGGGGGGGGGGGGGGGGGGTGGCTTTAAGGATGCGTTATTGACCTGGGACTGGTGGAGACACTTGAAGGCCGGTTAAGCTGCACGTGTCATGAAGCACTCTTGAGCATCGCCATGAGAGTGCAACAGAATCCCGGATGAAGACGAATACGGTACAGGCAAAAACAGACGGACAGACAAATGAACAGAGAAACATAGAGACCGACAGGCAGATAGACTGATTGAAAGAGAGCAATTCTACTAAAAAGAGATCAATATTGAGATGGCTTCATGGCGATGTGGTCAGCACGCTCACCACTGAGCACGCAGCACAGAATAACAACTTTAATTTCATCAACCTCCCAGTTTATATTTAAGTGAATTAACAATGTTCAATCTACTTTAAAGCAAATATCAAAGAGTCCATGATTTGAGGTGCCTAGATTGCTCAGGGGTCAGATCACTGAGCTGTCAACGCTGAGACGCTGAGTTTGTAACTGGAACATCCATCCGTGATTAAACCGGGTTCACAAGCGTTGCTTTTATATGGTCTCAGCCTCGTCACCAATGACTTTACACACACACACACTTTAAAACAAAGCTTTATATCAAATTAGGGGTTGTTTCCACTTAATTAAGCTAAATGAAAGTTCTGAGAATGAAAATAAAATACAATTTTCAAATGCGACAAACATTTCTCTGTAACAGGGCGTGTTAGAAAATGTCACTGCAATGGGTCTCAGAAGTAGTTCTATGAATCCTTGTTCCAGGGACAGTTCTCGAATGCACGATGTATATACACTGCTCCGCAAGCGTTCCGAATGTATTCTTCATCCTAAAACCTGATGCCGATCACGCAATTGGAACAAAACTGAGAAAACGACAAATAATTCTTAAAATCCATGTTGTTTAATCATCAGTGTGTATAGGATGTTGTGTGACAATGTCAGAGTACATATCTCGAAATAGGATATTGACCACATCTCAAGCTGAATCCAGAAAATTAAATTACTCTAAGTGTGTGTGTTTGTTTTACTATTTACAAACCTATGGATATTATTGACATTCACAGCACTTTGTAAATCCACTGCTGGATAAAGACCTCCCACACTCTTGTCGGTCATGGGTTTTATTTTCGTATCATACTTCCCCAAAGCTGGTCAGTGCAGGATTTGTTTTTTATAATGCCTCTTTGAAGGAAGCACTGGCGGGCACATTGCTTCGTCGCCGATGACGACGACGGCGACATCGTGATATTGCCTATCGGCACGTAGCCGAGATTACCTTTTATGAGGTTCTCCAAGCCTCCCTCGTAAAATATAGCGAATGTTTACTGTGATCGGCGTTCGCTTGGTTAAATACAGCGATTACGGACACTGAACTCGAGCTGAAATGCAGGGGAGGGGTGGAGTTCTCGGAGCAGGGGAGGGGGGGAGCAAAAACGGAAAGAAAAAAAGCAGAGAAAGTGTCAAAGTTGTTAAAGCAGCAGCAGCAGAGAGAGAGAGCATTGTCACGGCGTGTAGGCGTGGAGTTTTAAGGAAGGGCTTTGAGAGAGAGAGGGGGGCGAGACAGCTTGGGAGAGAAGCGCTCGGACGGACACGTGTAAGGTGGGTAGTGGCTGCGCGCTCTAACTCCTGGAGGGCCTTGGTGGGCCTCTTGAACGTGCCAGCTGTCGGGAGAGGACCTCGTTCTGAGGGTCGCCGGTAAGGGTTAGTGGATTGGGGGGGGGGGGATATCTCAATCGATGTGACAGTTTGTCGCGGTGGCAGGCATCGTGATGACTCAATGCGGAGGTTAAATTCTCCATGGGCAATACGGTATAGTGTGTTGAGCAGAATCATAATTTTGCCGTTTAATTTTATTTGAACGATGTAAAGTTCGTGGGCCACGGTGACACTGCGTTTGACGCACCGCACTATGGACCCAGTGAGCCGGTTTTGATTCCTGGTCACGACTAACGCAAGTGGTGACAAGCTGTATATCTAAAGTGATCCTGGGACCTCCCTACTCCAACCCACACTGACCACCACGGTGTGGGGAGGCCTTCATCTAACGATGGATTGACAAAAGTCTCCAATTATTATTATGAATGCAGAGTTATACTTCCTATTGTTTGAGTTGTCAACGCTTAATCATTGTTGGATGATTGCGTAACGTACACACTCATTTGTGATGGCATTTATATTTCTTTTTCCACATTGAAAAATGCTTCTTCACTGATAGAACACAATTTGTTAGTGTTCATTTGCTCCGTTTTGCTCGACAAAAGGGGTCGCAGCTGCAGATCTTAGCCCTCTTGTACTGTATATGTTTCTGCAGTTGTTAAGCATTGGTAATGATGTTTGTAAGAATATTCAAATTTTGTACTCGCAAAGCCGCTTAGGAAGACACATGGACACACGGTAACATATTACATCGTAAACCCTGCCGCAAAGTTTAACGTTGTCTATAAAGATGTCTCTTCTTGTAGGAAACATTTACTCATTGCTCGTTTGCACTACTCCTTCCAACGTGTTACTGTATTACTATATATACAAGTCCTACATTGCCTTCTTGAAAGAAAACAAAAAAACTGTTGGAGCAATTTTTTTGTAAATGACGAGAAAACCCAGCAGACAGAAAAGTGTGTGCAGATGTGGAAACAAATTGTGTTCTTGAATGTTATTCACCAGTGTTGAAATCCCCGAGTGCGGAGTTTTGTATTATCGTGGGCCAAAATATTGCAGGCAAGTAATTGGCGTAGATATTACAAAACTGGTGATGGAGGTTATCAGATTCTGTTTTGTACTCGTGATTGAGTCCATGTATTTTTAATCACGTTGTGCAAGTTACTAGTTGCGCTGTGAGTTATGTGTGCCTATGTAGCTGTGTACGTACGGTGCAAAAGAAGTTCAACATACATACATGAACCCGGCCTGCACCTGCGTTCGATTAGCGGTCATGGCTAAGATCAATGGTCATCACAGGACCGGTTCCGTGCCTCCTCTGGGTCAGCTCAGCCTTTAATGAGTACCTGGTGTGATGTGTAACAATCTCCAATGAGGACACGAAGGCGATAGGACATGATGTTGACCGCACCAACATCGCTGTGCCAGCCTTAACATCTGCTCGCCTACAGCCCTTGCCCCAATGGACTGCATAACTATGTGGGGGATCTTTATCTTTGTGGGCGATAGGACATACAAACTGTTGGCATTAGTAAAGAGTAAATGATTGGCCAGGTTTATGGCCCCTGTACTGGTATGATGTATTGTGTTTGTGTTTCTCTCTGTGTGCGAGAGAGGGGGATGCCATAGGTGCGTGTGTTTTCAGTGTCATTTCTGGCCTGTGCTTGAGTCTGTGTGCGAATTTGCAGGAGCGTCGTTTATTTCAATTGTGCCTTCGTGTGACTGAGTCAATCGGTCTGTGCCTCTGTTGGCTTGTCGGGCCTTATGTCAGATGATCTGTCGGTCATTCTAAATAGTGGATCGATACAATCAGGAGATGGAGCGATGCAATCAGCTCGTGTGCAGCTAATCGGTGGATTGTTGCAGCACAGAATCGTGAGATCTGGTGGTGGTTTGGGGATGCCTTCGTTCAGCGGAGGATTGCTCATGGCTGAATCATGATTATGTAATCATAACATAAAGCCTCTATGTCAATCCGCTAGCGGATGAAGGTCCTCCCCATGCTGTGTCAGTCATGGGGATCGTTGAACCATGCTTCGTCCGTGTGTTAGTGACGGTGTCACTCAGGGCCAGTTCAGATATCACTGCCGCTGATGGTTTATGTTGGCCATGGCCGGGTTCGCAGTGTCATTCAATGACCATTGTGCCACCGCTTTACCCGTGGCCATCGGCAATGCTGTCAGTTATTGGTACCTCTTCCTCCCTGGAACAATGACAGAAAATCATGCAAAGCCGTGGTTCTTCTTTCGTACGGCTGATGTAGACGCAGAGCAACGGCGACAATGTCACATTCAGGGTGGTCCAGCCGGACAACTGCGTTAGGCGTAGCGGAGTGCATCGCCGTGATGATGTCTCTCGCCTTCGTATTTGTGGATCGGGGCGTTGCGTCGTTGTCCGTTGCTACGGTCTGTTCTGGACGACCCGCAGTCGCACACTGCCTGGAGAGTTGTTCATTTTCCATTTGTGCATCAGGTATCCGCATCTGCAGCCATCGTGTGTCGATCGAGGAGGATGCCACCCAAAAGCGGACAGCTCTTGTGGCCACTTATTTCGGCAACGTTTCCCGTGCCATCACACACGAGATTGAGATGTCATTATCAAAGAAAACGAAACACTTCGGCATTGAGAGTCAAAGAGAACGGTTGTCGCTGTGACATTATGGGAGCGCAACGGTGGCGGTGTGCTGTATTGTCATGTTAAAGTATTTTTGCGTCTCGGTAATGAACTATGTAACCCGTATGGGGGACAGCCTGGGACAGGCAGCATACGGTACCATCTATGAGATAAGATAAACACTATTTGGTTTGCAAATATCAGAGAAAGAAATCATGAAAAAAAGTACATCAGGTTCTCAAGGAAATAATTTACAGGTAGAGTAATCAATAGGGGCAGGAGCAGTGGCACAGTGGTTAGCGCATCGTGCTGTGAACCCAGTGGCCTGATTCCCGGCCACGGCTAACATAAGTAGCACGTGATATCTGGACTGCTCCGGGGCCTCTGCTTCAGCAATGTTTCGCGAACCAGCATGGTGAAGTATGACCAAGGGCTGATAATAATTATGCTTTTCCTTGGAGTATATTACTGTCGATAATCAGTGACTTAGCTGTTAGCGGACACCTCTTGACTACCATGCTGTTATAGTACTTTAACAGGTTTCAGAAGCAACGAAGGATTAAGCCTGGATAGCAGGTGTTGTAGGCATTGTCGGTAGCAGCAAAATCAACCGTTGTATTGTACTGTCCCCCGCATCTATGCTCCCTGCCTTCGCCAACCTGCACTGACAAACGTGGTGACGTATAGTCACATAATCCTCACGGCCCACGTGGCGTGAGGGTTATGGGCAGGCCCTCATCCAGCAGTGGACTGAGGTGCAACACGGTGCTTTGGAAGGTGGAGTTTGGTGGCTCGTGTTGTGAGGGTCAGCGTGGGCCATGGCACTCGCCCTGCTGGGCTGCTGGGTAGCCAGGAGCTGCCACCGGATCAAGTTGCCTACTGCCTTGTCTGATTCGAATGCTCCTCAATCGTGTTGGTTTCTGCGGACACTCGAGTTTTCTCGCACACGCAAAACAAAAACAGTCATTAAGTCGACATTGCTGAAGGCTGGAGTTGAAGATTTGCTATATAATCGTAAGACTTTAAGCGTGCCAAGGCCCACACTATGGCACTCCCACGTGAGTTGCGTGCCCTTTAAACCCTCGCTCCCCCACCCCTCCTCCGGCTGTGCTGTCGCGCTTGCCTGCTTATGTTGGGGGCTTGGCACCAGTGCTGCGTTACGGCTGGGGCAACTGCGTTGCTGTTCAGCAGCTGATAATATATGTAACTGTTCAACTGCAGCAACAATGATTGTGGTTATGTTACACCTCTGTGTTAACTGTGGTCATAAAATGTCATTTATTCAACGGAATCGTTTATGGAGGCGTGTGGTGTCTCTCTTGTCTCTATCGATGATAGGAAGTATATTTTAGGATGAATACTCTCTGAATAAAAATCTATTTTTTATTTTGCGGGGGTGGATAGCACACTACGTGATGAACCTGGTAATCTGAGCGTGAATCCCAGCCACGACTGTATCACTTGTTCGTCATATAACCTAAGTGGAATGCAAGCAATGTGGATTTCGTAGGGACTCACTGCGATTTCTCTCGATCATTATTGTCCAAATACCTGCGTGCTTTTGAGAAACTTACGAGACTTTCAGAGAGGTGATATTATTTGTTGGCAAATCGTCCTCGATGACCCCTACCTCTGTTCAAGCAGCCATTCATCATCGCATCCTGTTTGAGCAACCAAGTGCGAGGCACCTTCCCATGACATCATCGTTTACAACTGGCGGGTCATTTAATGTTTCGAGGTGTTATATGTAATTTTTTTTACTCAAATTCGAAGATAAAAATTTTGGGATTTGAGGAAGCTGACTTTTCTAAGAATGTCCTCGGGAAGAGACATTTTTTTGGTTTTCATTCATTTTGTCCTCTGACGTACGTATCATTGTGGGAGATACAGAGAGTGACGGACGGATGCTCGTGAATTATATAAAGGGTGCTTTAAATGTTTTTTAACACTTCTGAGAATTTGCAACAATACTACAAGAAATGTGGAGACCACCTGGAGAAGATTCCAGGCACGCGTTGACAATGATGGCAAACAAGTGGAGACTCTTTGACTTTTTGAAGCCATTAACATACATTTGTTATCATGTTACAGTGTATTATCCGTTTTCCCCCATTAAAAACGATAGTCTCATGTAAGCGTTAACATTTTCTTGAAGCACCCTGCATATAGCGATAATAATTTCAACTTGTAATGGTCCGCACAGTATTCGCTCACTCTGGAAAAGAGAGAGAATGGCTCAGAGCCGCGATTAGGAACCACAGACAAGCGGGCAAAGGCAGATAGGCGGTTGCCTGGTGCGGATAATTACCTAAGCTCTGGGGTCCCTATATATTAAGATGTTTTCATAAAATCAATGAGTGGTTACATATCAGAGAAAACCAGAGCAATCCGGAGAAAATGATTTGCCTGAGCAGATGCCAGCGTACATAATTTTTTGTTCTGAAAGGGGCCGTCCATAAATGACGTCACGCGATTTTGGACGATTTTTGACCCCCCCCCCCCTTGTCACGCAGCGTCACAAAAAGTCAGACCCCCCCCCCCTCAAATATGACATCACAAAGCTCTGCCCCCCCCCCCCCAAATAAAACATGCTTCAAATCGCTTTAAACTATTGTCATTGTGGTGCGTATTTAATGTGCCGCTGCACTCTGATGTTGTAGGAGAAAACATTTATCAAAAAGTATATTTAATGAAGTAGAACGTGTTGTCTATATTTATTTAAAGTTGCACATTTTGATGTGACGTCACATTTCTCACCCCCCCCCCCCCCCCCGTCGTCACACATCGTCACAAATGTCTGACCCCCCCTCCCCTAGGTGCGTGACGTCATTTATGGACGACCGCCAAGCAGTGCGATCGCCCATCAAAGTGTGTTTCGTTTGTTGTCGCTCACACGCACCTCCAATTAGCATGGTTGGCTACGTACGGTGCGAAAGAAGTTCAACATACATACATAGTCGGGAGATGGCGGAACAGCGATATAGTGCAAACCACGCGTAGATTAAATTGTACAGGATGCGTGGTTTAAATTCCAACTTTGCGGAGCATTGCTATTCCCTCGCGTGTGGCATCGGACAAAGATCCTAAATGCAAGACCCGGCTTCAAGGGGGAATTGCGGAGACTGGCCGAGCCTTAGCCAGGGATTGGTAAATAAGTGGCATTGTCATGACGTCCGCGCTACGAGGCAGCTGAAAAGAGGCAGACTTCTTCTTCTGTTTGTTTGTCTTGTTGTGCGTGGCGTGCAACAGTGTGAGGTGACGTCGTGCCGTGTTGTGTATGAGCCGAAAGGGCCCTTTACCGTCACGCAAACATCATAGCAACTCGCAAAACAAACACAGAGAGAGAGAAAAGCCCAACTCAGGTTTCCGTGTGCTCGGGACACGGTAGCCAGCACCTGGTGAGTCGGACAGTCGATGGGACGCCGTTTGTTGGTAGCTACACCCGCGTGGGTATTTGCGATTAATCGAATAACTTAGTTATTAGCCCAACGACTTAATTGGGTTAACGACTCAAGTGAAAGCAAGTGTATCTTCTCATCCGTGCCATAGAACGATACGGTGCTCGAGAACGCCTCTTTTTGGTCGGCTGTCAGCGGACGCGCGTGACATATCTGGATTTATATCTCGAAATAATCAGCGACGTCGTTGCGGACGATCTCAAGGGCAACATCACTTAAGCAGACAACACGGCTCCTTGAGAAAAAAAGTGTATTTCTTGCACAAGCCATTAGTCTCGCGACTTTTTGGGAGTGGGCAATTTCAGTAGCGTTTGTTAACAGACAAAGCAAACTCTGGACCGGTTTGACCGCACGGTGTCTCATCAGCGGGGTCCAGGGAGGTCGCTTGAATGGTTTTATATGTTCCGATCACTGGTCACCAACGGTCGGTCTGCTTTACAACTTGTATCCATCGCTATTACCACCAGGGGTGAGAACACAGGAAGGTGAGTGGCTGTGCTGTCAGAGACCGAGAGTCCGTACGATCCGCGAGTAACAGAAAGAGACAGTCCATGATTGAACGGCCAAATCGAGAAATTAGTTGTTCTTCAGTTGGACCGCAGGTCACGGACAACATCATTTACGGATATGAGGAATTCTAATGTAGTTGTTCTTTAACCAGTTGTAAGTAGAGCTGGGCTATCTGATTACACCGTGTAAAAAAAAAATTGTTCCTGGGTAGTAAGAGTTATTTCCTAATTTCTTATGCCTCAAAAGTACAGAAAGTGGCTATTATTCCCCACAAACTTTGCTTTTGTGACCAGGACAGTGATATTTTGAAATTGACCTATTTTCATTGAGAAAACGTGGTGTACATTTGTGTCATTCCTTTACATAAAGTCCTGGTCACAAAAGCAAAGTTTGTGGGCAAAATAGCCACTTTCTATACTTTTTAGGCATAAGCAAATATAAAAATAACACTTAGTACCCCGGGACAAAAATCGTGTTACGTAGTGTAATTTGAAGAAGCAGTTACTCGTATCAGTTACAGTTCGAAATGACTCGACTAATCGGAGAAAAAAAAAAGAATAGTTGGAAATAAGTCTCGCCTCTGTCGCCGTGTGTGCCGCTGGACGGGAGGTCATGGGTGGGCAGGGCTAGGTGACCGGTACCATCGGCCCCGTCACGTGTCACCAACTCGTCGAGGGGGGGGGGGGGCGAGGTGATCAGCGGATAAACGGAATGATCAGATACGTGAACGTCTATGGCGAGAGACATTTCCACTAAGCACAAACGTGATAAGTCGCTGGAGAAATATAAATCGAAGACCAATTGGGAAAGTGTATGTGCGATTAATAATACCTTGTGACGAGTTCACAATAATACCTTGTGACGAGTTCATGTGTATACAATTATCAGAGCGTGTTTGTTTGCACGTTTTGCCACAATTATGTGTGGCTAATGCGGACTTTGATGCTTTGCAATAGGTGTCTATTTGGCGTTTGAACATCTTAACACCTGTTTTTATTGCCAGAAAGGGTGAAGCCTTTTCTTATATTTTTAAATCCTTTATATTAAGTTTGCTTGCTTGCTTACGACCGTACAAATCTTTCGGTCGTTTTTTAACCCACTTCCGGTGATCCAATCGAGCTGACATTTTGCACACAGACTCGTTGTGCGTGACAATTCATTTTCGTGAATTTTTTTTTCCAATTTCCACTTTTTAGGAAAAATTTTTTTTCATATTTTATTTAAAATACCAACGTGATAAAAATGAAACTCTTACTCAAGAAAAACAGAAATGAACAATAAAATAAAACCGATGCCACGCATATAAAGGATTTATAGTGAAAAACTTTGTTTTTACGGGTTAATTTTTTATCATCGAAAATATAATATTTGCGAACATCTATAGACCAAAAGTTCGGGTGCGCAGTGGACAAATGCGGAACTGGATTCGTGGTCGATACATACAATTGCGCGAATATATATGATGGACGTCCATGTGACGTTATACCGCGTGTATCATATTTCGGACGCACACTCACTCACTTATCCGCGTTGCTCTTGCAAATTAACGATGCTCGATGGGCCCTCACTTGGTTAAACAGAGGCACGTTTGACTGTGTGACGAGGGCCGGGTTTGAGCGATGGGTTTCAGGGGTTCAATGAGTCTCAAGTCGGTGCCAAATTCTCAGGCTGACGTTAGGAGTTCCCCTAACATTGTGCCTCATGGATATGTTTGTCATTTTGGGCAGTCGATCAGCCAGCTCATCACTCAGCTTATCCATGTATCTATATGTCAGTAAAGCAATCACCTCGTCAGCCGTACAGTCATTTCGATAATAATATGCAAACAACAAGAATAATTATAATGTACAGCCCAATTTGCCATAACACACCACCTTGGCGATTTATCCCATTGCTGGCTCTCATTTATGCCAGAAACCCAATCAAAAGAAACATTGTGCGTCACATGAGTCACACCCTAAGGGTTCTTATTAGCAATTCGTTTATAGCCCTTTATCAACCCACTGCTGAATGAATGCCTCCCCACACCATATGAATCATGGGAGGTTGTTTAACCATATACTTCACCACACCGGTCAGTGTGCGTTTACAGAAGTGGGGAGGACCAGGACCGGTTGAGGTATCACTCTAAACTAAACCATTTTTAAAAAAATATTCTACCAAGTAAGGCTCAATTAGCTCTATCACTCTTTTTCAGAAGCGATCTGGACACATATGACAGCTCAGTGAAGTGGCTTATAATGTGTAACATCCACGTAACCACGGTGAGACTATGCAAACTTTATACCAGGCAAGGTAGTTAACTGCTCGCCACCGTGAGACCCAATGATGTATGTTATGGCCAGGAATTAAATTCTGGATGCTCGGTTTGTATCACAGTGCACAAACCACTGCGCTACGGATGGCTCTATGTTGCCTGTATGAATGTAAACCGGAGTTTAAGGCCCGAGTGCTGATGTGTGACACATTCTAATCGGCCAGAAAATGCCATTAATTGGCATACATATCACATGTGGTGGAGGTTCACACATTTTGTCTTGTGTCGATGATGCAATTGGGCCATAGTTTAACAACTATATTGACATAACAGGCAACGTCTAGTTGTCTTCTTCTTTATTACTAGACGATGATGTCAGCTTAGTCAGAGTTTGAAGCAGAGATAAAAGCTACTTCGTGGATCGAGCCAAGATGAGATCACAGGCAATTGACATTTTTTGACGGTCTTCCCATAAACTTTCAGATTGAAATGTCTTCAGCTGTGGTTTACCCCATGCTCGTCTGCCAAAAACCCCCAGCACAGCTGCAGTTGACACAATTCAAGTACAAACCCAAATTATATACGAGAGCATGTTCTGTTTATTATTTTAACATTTCTGGGTTACGATTCCTCCAAGATATTGTTCGTGCAATGCAGTTCATCATCATCATGAACAGCCATAGTCAAGCCACTGCTGGGTGAAGGCCTCCCAAAGACACTATCATCTCCTACGATCTTCCGATATTGCAATAATACAGTAATAATGCAGCAATAAGGAAAAAAGTCGATGGGGAGCCGAGTGGTTCACACCCTGTCTGTTGGTCCAGTTAAGTTTGCAGGATTTGATGGTTTGATTCCCGCTACCATCCAGATATACGTCATTATCATGAACCATTTTCCGCCCACTGTTGGAGGAAAGCCTCCCCTTATTCAATCCCTTATTCATTCCCACATGCATACCCTTAGTCGTTCACTTATTCATTTCCTTACTCTCTACTTTCACCCTCATACCCCTGCATCCCAGGGTCTCCCAGCTTATCCCTCCCCTCTGAGCCCTGTTTTCGCCAGGACGTCAACATTCCAGGAGATGAGCTGTTGCGTGTTCCCAAATTCTTCCCCAAGTCCTCCGCAGAAACACAGAGATATCGGGGTGGCCCCTGACATGGTTTTTAATCAATCAATCCCGTGTATGCTAACAACGTACGGCTTAGCTATTGATTAAATACATTTTAAACATCATTTACTTCTTGTGATAATTGGACAAACATCAATAATAATAATAATAATTTTGTTGTTTAGTACCCAGGAAAGCCTCAATGATATTCAGAACTTTTTCAGAAGGATCCTACTTTGGGATGCTTGGCCAATTGCCATTAATACGCGTGTTGTATACGGAAGAAAACTGGAGGAATCCAATGCACATGGGGGGATAACACTCAAAGTTTTACACGGATAGATTTAAGAATATATTCTTGTTACTTAAGGCTGCATCGGTGTCCTCTGCAGTTGTGAGTTGGCCTTGATGTGGGACGGAATTATGGTGACCCTCGTTGCTTGCCCCATTCTTAATTAAATCTCACATAGTTTTCCCTCTTGTACGACCCTGCAAGTATATCCCCACCCAAATCTCCTGTGTAAACACAGGGCCTCTGCGCCATTTAATGAAGGGTGTCATTAATTGTGGCATCAAATGGTCATTTCAAGAGACAAACAAAATTGAGAATCAATTAATGACCTGGCCGCTCCAGCCTCGCCATGGCAGCGCGAGATTGAAAGTGACACTCTCTCATGGTTCGGAATTGCGTGACGCGGCTGGGTAAAACTAAACTAGTTTAATTTTAGCAGGTAAGGCCCCGCTGAGCTACATAGCAATTTTCTTTTCAGAAGCGACCCGCCTATCACAAATGGTAACTCAATGAAGTGGCTCATAGCGTGGAAATTCACAGCAGCCAAATACTCCAAACGCACGTTGATTCTAAATGTGGAGGAAAAACCCGGAGGGAGCCGGAGATAAGTCCACGCAAACACAGGGAGAACATTTAAACTCCAAATATGCAGGCGTTAGGGTCGGAATCGAACCCACGACCTCCTGCATACCGGGCGAGGTAGTTAACATCTCGCCGCCGTGGCACCCCAAGTAAAGCAGGATTTCGGTGTCACTTAAATAAAGGGTGTCATTAATTGTGGCATCAAGTGATCCTTTCAAGAAATAACAAACAAACAAAAATAATCCATCATTGCACCGCCGTCTCCTGACCCCTGCATCCCCCGGTGTGCCACGCCCGGCGAGTTTGCCCACCGAGGTGAGCGCGAGGCCAGGGTGGAAGAGCCGCCGCCACTTCTCCGCCCGGTGCCCAATAAAGGTCACGGGCCAGCGGACCAGCTGGCGCCAAGGCATTCACGTCGTCGCGTCTTGGAACGGCGATAGCGCTCGTCTGGCGGGCAATAAAGGTGGTGGCTCCGAGTCGCTGCCGTGAACCGGGACCCGTGGCCAAGGTCCACGTGCCACTCCTCGTCCTTGCCGAGAGCGCACGGGATTGCCACGGCTATTTAAATGTGCTCGCCGTGACGGCAAACTATTTATTGCCAAAGCAGACGCGAATGAATGTTAACGGCGATATATATATATACGTTATAGAGCAACGGTTTTTTTTTGTTACACACGAACTTTAGACATGGCAGGTTGTTTTTTTTTTTAATGCTTCACAAGGAGAGGCACTCGGTATGTCAGGGTGTTGGCGGTGACGTGGGTAGTATGAGGCGGTTCAGCGGTATAGCTGTTGACTCATACAACTGATGAAGATAATGGGGTCTTGCCTCGGTCAACATGCGATGGGTGTTTAATTCAGGTTCATGTTCAAATACTTGATGTGAGCCAGGCGGTGGTGGCTGTGCACGTGGCCTGTACTCCAGCACTGTTGGTGAATCACACACAGATGTTGTGAAACTCCCTTCCCGTAAGGCGTCAACGCGCCATGCGCTGGCTTGCCAGGAGAAGGTCCCATTTGTTCCATCTGTATGGCATCCATTTGTTTCCCCCCCGTGCATCACGTGGGGTTCCCCCCAGGTGCTCCGGGTTTCCTCCCACGTGTAAGCACTCGTTAATTTGCTGAAAATAATTATTCATGTATAGAGGACCGCAGAGCTTGGACAAATTGTTGGCGCCAGCTCACCGCCTGACCGCCTTCACACTCGTCTGTGGTTCCTCGCGCCTCTGAGTCGTTCTTCTCTCCCTCCGAGAGCGAGCGGATGCTGTGCGGCGGTGGCGTCGGTGCGTTACAAGTTCAATTATCATTGGACATCCGGTAGGACAATAAAAAAAATGTGAGAGCCCTTCTAAATAATTTTTCCCTCTTGCCGACGGTTTAAACACGCATGTGTTCTTTTTAATTCGTTGCATGAATTGCATTTGGGATGGAGTGAATTAATCGGCAAGGTGACTCAGCGACTGATCGATCGATCGAGCGACTTCAACTCCCGGTCGCGAGTTGACTCAGCCTATCATCCTTCTGGGGTCGAAAAGTCGAGGTTTAAAAGTGCATAGCTCCAGTGGCTTCCTAATATCGGAAGGAAGAGCATTCCAGACGGCCGCAAAAGCGCATCTGAAAGCGCGCGATGCGATGACCGTCTTTGTTCGGTGGTCAGCCAAATGCCGCTGCTGCTGCGAGGATGACCGGAGTTTGCGTGACGGGTTATGCTGCTTGACAAGACCAGCAAAGCATTGTGGTTCACTTGTGGCGATCACTTTGTGTCCAACGAGCGCGACGATATAAAGGAGTGCGACCTCATTAAAAAAGTTAACCCGTAAAAACAAAGTTTTTCACTATGAATCCTTTATATGCGTGGCGGCTAGAGTCCTCTCGTCCTCTGGCTTGAGATGGCTGCCACCTATGGGTCAGATGATTGCCTGCCACCATTAAGCAATTGGTAATTAAATATAAAAAAAAATCCTAAAAAGTGTAAAGTTTTGGAAACATTGTTTCACTAAAATAAATTGTCACGTACAACGAGTCTGTGTGCAAAATGTCAGCTCGATTGGATCACAGGAAGTGGGTTAAAAAACGACCGAAAGATTTGAACGGTCGTAAGCGCGCAAGAAAGCAAGTGAACTTAATATAAAGGATTTAAAAAGATGCTGATGACGACGTCGACTGAATGTTTAACTGCGCCTCACTATTGCAGAGCGCCTCACACGTGTGCACACGTGCTTCTCTCAGGCCACGTGGAGAGACGGAAGACGTGACGGGAGGGGGAGGCACGCGACCTTCGCGAGCGGCACGTCCACCTCCACCGTGCGAGCCGCGCAGGAATGACCCGCGGGGTGCACGATTAGCGCACGTTCGTGATTAATGGCTCGATTGATAGGCTGGACATCGAGGTGGTGTCGCTTCGACGGGTTTTCTCGGTGGGTTCGCCTCGGATTTGCCTGAAGGTAGATCGCTGCGGTTAAGCCGCCGTGCATTCGGATTGAGCCAGAAGACAATGGAGTTCGCAAGCGACGTCATGCACAGGTCAAGGACTCTCCCGTCTGTCCCTCTGATCTTGCTGCTGCTGCTGCTACTGGGAGTGTTGTCCGGGGTGCCTGCTCGGACGCACGGGGTGGATCTTTCCCGGAAGGAAGATGGACGGTGCCGACGTGTCGAGCCCCCGCTCACGCAGTACGAAGGTGACGGCCCACACGTGCGCACGCTTGCTCACGCGTGCGCGTACACCTGTAGGCCAGTCGGTTTCAAAGGCAATTGTCAGAGCGTGTTCGTTTGCATGTTTTTTTGCCACCACAAGTGTGTGTGGTCAATGCAGACTTGATGCCTTGCATTAGGCATCTGTTTGGTGTTTGAACATCTTAACACCTCCTGTTTTACTGCCAGAAAGGCTAAAGCCTATTCTTATTTACTCACCATTTTGATTACTGGCAAAAATGTCGCATAGATACGTACACGTGTGCTGCTTGCTGTTGCTCACATGCCGTCTTAGGCCTCTGAGCCTGTTCTCAGCAACCGGTGTGTCCTTCTATAATAGGTGTCCACCGATACCACTTTGGATTTTTTTGGAGAGCACCTCGTGATCTCCGAGTGAAAGGTGGTACAAAAGAGTAAATTATTATCTTAATAATTGTTAGGTTTTTTCTTGACTGGTCATCGAACAAAGATGGGCACTGCATTGCGTTCTTTCAGATGCGCTTCTGCGGCCGTCTGGAACGCTCTTCCTTACGATACTAGGAAGCCACCGGGAGCTATGCACTTTCAAAATCTAGATTGACAACTCATTTCCTTACAACTGCCTTTTGTGTTAAGTTTCGTTGCACTTTCCCCACGCACCTGCGATTAGCACGGTTGGCTACGTACAGGGTGCGAAATAAGTTCAACGTACCTGCATACATTTACCAAAGGCTCTGTCTTGTGTGTCCCCCTTCAAAGACGTGGAGCCTTGGCTATCAAGTTTCTCCTTCCCAGGAGCTGAGGGCTACTCACAGCTGTCGCTGTACCCCCCGCGGGCGCAGCTGCTCGTCGGAGCCAGGTAAAGCGAGACGTCACGGCGTGAAGCCACCAAATGCCCCTCGGCATTGGTCAGGGGGCAGCTCCCGGTTTCCCGAAAGATTGTCTCGCACCAACAGTCTGTGAGCGAGCGAGCGCGTGCGTGTGTGTGCATCTGTGCAAACGGCTGCGCGTGCGTGTGATGTTTATCGAGGTCGACGTGTACGTTTGCACGGTACACACGGCGGCGATTGAAGGAATGAGCAATGCCGAAGAGTCACTCTTGTCGGGTGGGTGCGATGCCTCGTAATCCGCTGCCGTCAAATTCTCTTGCAGGAACCACCTCTTCCGATTAAACCTCAGCAGCCTGGCTGTGGTTCAGGTACGCTCAATTCATTGATAGCGCAGTGTAAATCAGTGACACGGCCCAGGGAGTGTGTATTCGCGGACTTGTGTGCGTTCTGTGTGCACGCCTGCATACACGTGTGTACGTTGCGTGTGCACGCTGTCATGGGAACCCTGATCGAGTTAAATTCTACATCAATGGGAAACTTATATTTTAACTTGTCCTGGGCCTCTTTTAGGTCGACTCAGACTTTAACGAGTACCTGATGCAGTGTGAAAACATTAGCACTGGTGACACGAAGGTGGACGGGAGGTGGTGCTAGTCACACCAACCTCTCATGCGCCATGCCGGCCTCAATAGGTGCTCGTGAACAGCACTTGCCCCAACAGTCTGTTTGGGCTATATGGGGGATCTTTGTTTGTGTGTATGATGCAGGCAGTGAGACTGGATTTTTCGTGCACCACGTTATGGTCCTCCGTCACCTGAAATTCAATTCCAAGGCCACATTTAGCACAAATGGTGATTGGTATCTGACAGCCATGTAACTATTCACTGATTCATCCGTAAAAATCAATTTGTGCGCTCAGGACACACGACATCTGATCGCGTGTCAAAGAATCAAGTGTTCACGAGTAATGAAATATATATGAAAATCATGTGTTAATGCCCCTTAAAGCCAACAAAACAAGCCTGACAACACAGACGTATATTTATTATAATAATGTAATAATAACTAATAATTTATTCAGCAGCGCCACGCTGAGGTGTACGACTCTCTTCCAGGAGGGTCCTGCATTTGGTAGTTTTTTTTATTTTAATTAGAAAATAAATATGTATTTATACTGGAGGAATGCTATGAGCTATAAAGTTATTTTGCACAGATCTCCAGTAGGGGCATGGGGTCAGAAAGTTACAACAACAACAACAAACAGTACAAACCCACGATATGAGTGCAAAGTGTAGGAAAGGTAAACAAATCACAAAGAAAAATGAACAATTTTTTTTTTATTTTACCAGGTAAGGCCCACTGAGCTATATTCAAAAGTGACCTGCCCACAAATGATAGCTCAACAAAGTGGCTCATCATGTGGAAATGTATAGCAGCCTGTGCATTATGCCAAAGCCATCAGCAGTTGCTGAAGAATTTGCATTGTGGTGTCCCCTAGTCTTGTATGTATGTTGAACTTCTTTTGCACCGTACATAACCAACCGTGATCATTGGAGTCCTGGGTGCCCGTCAACATAAATTCGGTCCCATGTGCTCAAATGTGGATGTTTTTTTTTGCCAGCGTGCACTATTATTCCGTCACAATTATTATCGCGGTTGCACCCGATTCAAGAGCCGAATGGCTCACAGGGTTATACCTAATAAATGAACTGAACTGAACTGATTTGCCGACTTGATCAGCCCTGATCGTCCAAATGCTGAAGCTACTCGGGATCTTGATTGCCGTGTCCCTGGCCTGTACTTTTGTTCCCAGTCCGTGGAGTGGCGATCGGACGAGGCGACGATCAGGGCATGCATTAGCAAGGGCCGCTCCGTGGTGAGAACACACGCATTTTCCTGTGTCATTCATGTCGCTGGATAACTTGGGAGTCCCAATTCCCACTTTGTTTTATTCTTATTCGTGCCATTGTGCTAATTCTATCATTCCGAGGGGTCAGAACTGGGATTTATATCATCTCTATTGATATCTCTGTACCAGGTGGTGGAAATTCCACATTGCCGTGATGGGGGCCAGTATCTCCGTATGAAAACCACGGTTGACTTCCTACAATGCGGCACTCTTTGGAGTGGGTAGAATGTGAAATTTCACAGGCCTTGTCAAATAAAGTAAATACAAACCGCTATCCACTATCAATTCAGGCTCATGATTCAATTGAGTAATCGAGTATATTTGTTTACATTGTAGTGAATACTACTGTTGGCTACAATGGTTCAGTGGACTTATATACAGTACTTACACAGGTTGTAGAGGCAACGGTGCAACATTGCAATTTCGTGATGGTGCACGATCCTCCACTTGAGGGAACCCTTGAGAACCCCTCCAGAGGGCAGGTAGTTGGCCTACTCTTCCACACTGGGAGTACCCTCACTTTACCGCATCTCCCCGCAACCTGCCGATCGATAAACTGTGGTGTGTCCACAAAGCAACGTACGTACAAATAAAATAACAACAGCAAAAAAAACGTGGATCTTTACACGCCCGATTTAATGCGTGTGCCGCGAGTTTACGAATCGGTATTAACCGATGCACCGTCCGTTGCACTCCGCCGTGTGCAACGCGTGAACCGACGTTCCTCGGAGTTCTCCGAGCGTATCGTCCTCTGAACCTCCATCCACCCTCTCCCAGGACGAGTGTCAGAACTACCCGAAGGTGCTGCTCGTTCGGGGCAAGCACGTCTTTGCTTGCGGCACGAACGCCTTCAGCCCCGTGTGCGCTCGCAGGCAGGTGAGACAAGCTGAGCCTCGACTCTGAAATAAAAAAATATAACGGAATCGGTGATCGTGTGTGTGTGTTGCTGTGTTGCGTGTGTGTGACGGGTTTAACGACACCTTTACATTTACGCGATCTAACCCAAAAAAAACTTCTATTATGGACCCCAATGTGTTTTTACTTAAGTGTCAAAATGACCTATGAACTCCGCACCCCCCTCTGCAGGCGGAGGACCTGTCGGTGACGCACGAGCGTGTGAGCGGGGTGGCGCGCTGCCCCTACGACCCGCGCCACCACTCGGCGGCGCTGCTAACGCCGCGCGGGGAGCTCTACGCCGCCACCGTCATGGACTTCTCTGGGCGCGACCCGGCCATCTACCGTAGTCTGGGGGGCCTGCCCCCCCTCCGCACGGCGCAGTACAACTCACGCTGGCTCCACGGTACCGCTCGCACCGCATCGCGCAGCGGGGCACGTTGCAGCCACAGCCGCTGCCGGAGATATTGGCCGCAGAGCACGACCTTGATCTTGGCACAGAGCTAACGTGTGTATGTGTGTTAAACTTCTTTCGCACCTTCTTGGTTCTTTCGGTAAAATCACGTAGAAGGGAAATAATAAAATGATAAAAATAAAACATGTTTTTATTTTGTAAAGTCACGTAAACGAATCGGCATCTCCCTGGACCCGTGGCGTATAACCCCAACGCCGCCGTCGCGTGCGCGCATCTCTCCGCGACCCAAATCCCAACCGTGACGAGCAGATCCCAGCTTCGTGTCGGTCTACGATATCGGCCACTTCGCCTACTTCTTCTTCCGCGAGCGTGCCGTGGGAGAGGCGACCGAGTGCCCCAACGGTGCTGGTGGCGGCGGCATCGGCGGCATCGGCGGAGCGGGCGGTGGCGTGGTTTCGCGAGTCGCCCGCGTGTGCAAGAACGACCAGGGCGGCCGCTACCTGCTCGAGGGCACGTGGACGACGTTCAGCAAGGCGCGGCTCGACTGCAGCTCGCCCGGAGAGGCGGTCGGCGGTGGTGGTGGCGGCGTGGCAACGACGTACGAGCATCTGCGCTCGACGTTCTACCTGCCCGAGCAAGACCTCGTCTACGCCGTTCTCTCCACGCGAGTGTGAGCCGGCGATCGCCCCCCCCCCCATCCTGCCCCCACTCCCCCTCAACCCCCCGTATCGTCGTAAGTTTGCAGTGGAGCAAATTACATTTTTTGTTACCCTGCTGCTGTGTTTGCGCATCTGCGACTGATGACCAGGTTTGGTGAAGTATGGTTAAATAACGCTCACATCATCATCATCGTCGTCGTCATCCAGAGGAGATGTTTGTAAGATGTTAGGCCATAGTATCACTGTGCTTGAACATACATGGGGCGAAACTCATCGTCATTGGTGACTTGAAGACAGTGATGGACATTCCACATTCCTATGCCTCTGATCTTGTTCATGTTTTTGTTTTTTGTTTGTTGCGGTTGCACCCGATTTAAGAGCTGAATGGCTCACAGGGCTATACCTAATAAATGAAACTGAAACTCTCCATATGACAACCACCATTGACTCTCCACAAAATGGCTCTCTCATTGCGCGATGAACCGTGCAAGTGACTTTTTTTGTTAAAGGTAACTTTCAATCTCTGCCCCGTCCCGTTTTGCCTGCGGTCGTACAGGAGCAGCATCGAGGTGTCCGCGGTGTGTTCGTTTAACCTGACGGCGATCCAGCGGGCTTTCAGCGGCCCCTTCGCCTACCAGGAGCACCCTCGCGGGCCGTGGAGCCACCGCCCGAACCCCGACCCCAACTTCCAGGCAAGGCAGCGGGTGGCTCCGGAGGCTGTTTGCCACATCGGCACACGCTTTGTCAAGGCGCTCTTCTTCCCCCTCCAACCCAGCTTAAATACACGCTCCAAGCTTGGTGGTGTTTCATTCTTCACCTGAGGACGGCTGCTCGCGTTGTGGCTGAAACGTCGTGAGAATTATTTTATTATGTTTTATTTTTATTATTTGATTATTTCCATTCTACGTGACTTTACCGAAAGAACCAAGAAGATGAATCCCTGCAGTCACGAAAGCTTTAAATCGAAATATCTAAAGCTATCGCTCGTCAGAGATGTTTGCCGCATGATATATGCATTGACTTGTGTGTCAACGAATTGATTCGGTAAAGCTAGAGGCACAGACCTGCAAAAACGTGCTCTGCTGGCGGGAAGGGCCTCCACTCTAATGGGCTCCTCCAGAAGATGGTCAGTTGGCCTACTCTTCCACACTGGCGAGACGTCTTGGAAGAGGCGGGCGTGCCCACACTTTACCCCACCGCATGCGACCTGCCGATCAACTAACTGTGGCGGCACCCATTGACACTGCTGGGTGGACAGAGGCGGGGGAGATCAAATTAAACTAGCGACCTCTGCAAGTCCACTCTGCCAACCATTCCACCGTGGCAGCGTTCCGTTTAAGAAATTGAATTGACTCCCCGTTAAGTTCAAAACGTTCGCACACCACGGCTAAAACTCTTTCCACTGGTGGACCTCTAATCCCTCGTGTGCCCGGATATTTGCGCGCAGTGCGGAACAGCGAGCGGAGAGGAGGAGGAGGAGGGGGAGGGGGAGGAGGAGCCGGAGGAGAAGAGCGCCCGGGCGACGTGGACATCAGGAGGCGTGGGAAACCCTGGCGGCGGTGCCGGCGGTGGTGGCCGGCGGGGTACGGGCGTGAGTCTGGAGGACCGGCACAAGCAGGTGCTGATGCAGGGCGTCGTGCGATCGGCCACGGGGACACCGCTGTACGCGCACGGACCCGGCCGCCTCTCCCACCTCGCGGTGGACATCGTGCAGGGCAAGGAGGCGCTCTACCACGTCATGTACCTGGCCACAGGTGAGTTTTTATGGCGTGCCGTGTGCGCGCAGCATGCACCCGCGCCCCCCTCCCCTTCCCCCCCCCATCGCGCATCTTCGTTCAAACGAACAGAGGAGACACCAATTCATTTAAATGAGGATGCGGGAATCGTAAGTAAAAATTAATTGGGATTTTTTTCCCGACGGCCCAGGAATCGTCCGCATGCCTTATAATGGCGCTGTGCAATATCATGTGAATTTGTTGCGTAACATCTGGTGTGCATCTCCACTGTACGCATATCTATATGTTAAACTTCTATCGGCACCGTACATAGTCAACCGCGCTAAACGGTTGACTCCGTGAATAAATGCAGGAATTTATTGGAAGATTTATTTCGTTTATATGGAGATGAAGGGATAGAGACAGATATTGTAGCAGTCTAGGAATCACCGATGTATCGAATTATTTTTTTACAGCCTACACATTGTCTTATACTTCCCCATTAATTCGAATAGTGATCCAGGATTTCCATTTTAAATGAATGGGTAGGAGGTTCTAGTGTCGTATTCCGACGATCGCCACGAGGTGGCGTGCCAACCCTTTTAGAATCCCATTCAACCGGATGGGGAAATTAACACGGACATTTGCCGAAAGTGGGATTCAAATCGGTTACTTGCAGGAATTGCCCAGCACTGATCAATCAACAGCAGAAATTCAGTTTTATCCCATTGCATAGCAACCTTTCAGAAGAAGCATCTTTTGGAGAGAGTTATTCACTGCTCATTTCCACGTGATTTTTATTTATATCTGAGTATTATGAGTTACTTAAAAACCTATTTGTTGTTTAACATAATATGAATTGCTGAGTGCCAGTGAATTAAATTACAAGCTCCGAATGGACTAACATTGGTTTGTATGGAAACTATTGGGTATTCCAACAATTAATTAACTCCGTATTTTGTCGACGCGCTGTATTGACAATTCTGTCTCTCTGACTCCCACCTCCCAAGCTCAGCTTGACATGTGGGCTTTCGCGACCAATATGATCCATAATAAATAGAGGGTTTTGTTTGGGTTAGATCGCGTAAATATAAATGTGTCGTTAAACCCGCCACCACCCGACGCAGCCAATTAGTAAGGTATGTCCCGTAAACAAAACGTGACAATTCATCACTAGCACAGCACACCGGTGGTGTGTTGGGGACTAAACCAGTTCCGTGAGATTTCGCCGGTGACTACAACCAGCTTCATCAGGCGATGAGCTGCTCCCGCTTCTGTCAAAAACGAACCTTCTCCCTCCAACCCGCAGACACCGGCACGATCCGCAAGGTCCTTGGCGTCCGGCCACGGCGACCTACGCGGCTGCGTGCTCGAGGAGCTCCGTCTGTCGCCGTCGGACGCTCGCGGCGGCGACGACGACGACGGCGGCGGCGGCGGAGGGAGCTGGGACGCCGCGTGGGACGAGGGTCCCCGGGGGCACGAGGCGGACGGGCCGCACGGCGGGCCGGAGCTGCTCGTGCGCAGCCTCCTCATCGTGCAGGAGGAGCGCGCGCTGTACGTGGGCCTGCGCTCGCGCGTCCTCCGCATCCCGCTCGAGAGATGCCACGTGCACGCCACGCGGGGGTTAGTCGCGACACCGCACCCCCCCACCCGCCCCCCCCTGGTCTTCTGTCGGTGTGATTTTTGGTTTTTTTTTGTCAGCGCTTCGAGAGACCGCGAAGGGCAGAGGTGGAGACGTAGAGAGAGAGTTGGCGGTCGGGAATTAGTGGAGCCCCCACGAGCATTTCCGTGATGATGATGTTGTATATATGTACGTTGAACTTCTTTCGCACCGTACATAGCCAACCGTGCTGATTGGAGGTGCATTTCATCCAACCACGACGGTTGAAACAATTTTGCACGTTTCTTCAATGCACCGCCCTGTGTCCGCCCGGCAGCATAAGTGGCTGCGCCACAGTTGGTCGATGGGCAGGTCACGTGTGGTGGGGTAAAGTGTGGGTACTGCCGCTTCTTCCCAGACTATCTGGCCAGCGTGGAAGAAAAGGGACAAATTGTACTCAAGAGAAGATCTCAGGAGTTCCCAAGCGAGTGGAGGTCCCTCCGTCAAACAGTGGCATGAGCATGCAATTGCAGGGCTGCTCCTTTACTTTTCATTGTACTACGTCTATGCTCCCTGCCTTCGCCAACAGGCACTGACCAGCATGGTGAAGTACGGTTAAATAACCCCCATGGTCTGCATGGGGGGTGGAGAGGCCTTCATCCAGTAGTGGAGATCTGATCTGGAGACCGGGCACAGTCCAGGCGATTTGACCAAATCCTCGTTCGACACAAGTGAACGGCGCTGTACGTATTGTTTTTGAACTGAAGGTGTCCTCGTGGCTCATGAAGGTAATAATACCTGCCCTTGCCATGCCCCCCCCCCCCCAGGGCGTGTGTGTCGGCGAGGGACCCGTACTGTGGCTGGGACGTGCGGCAACAGCGCTGCACGACCATCGAGCGCAGCATCAGCATGAGCCTGTGGATGCAGGACATCTCGCGCTGCCCCGTGCGTGCACACACACTCGTGTTTACGCACACACTTGCACAGGTCCCCCGTATAGCCCACATAGAACTGTTGGGACAAGCGGCTGTTCGCCAGCATGGCGCACGAGGGCGGTGGGTGGTCAGCACCACGCCCGGCTGTCTTTTTCTCCCGAGTGGACATGTTTACACACATTTAAGGCTGAGTCAACCTAGGGGAAGCTCAGGACAGGTTCAAATTTCCGCCGCTGTTATTGGTCGTGAGCGTTCAACTAAAAACTAACCCACTGAGCTATACAGCTCTTTTTCAGGAGCGCCCTGGCTATCACAAATGATAGCTCAACGAAAGTGGCTTATCACGTGGAAAGTTATACCAGCCAAATACTCTAAAACGCACGTTTCTAAATGTGGAGGGAAAAACCGGAGGACCCGGAGAAAAATCCACACGACCACGGGGAGAACATGCAAACTCCAAATATACAGCAGGCGTCAGGGTTGGGATCGAACTCACGACCTCCTGCATACCAAGCGATGTAGTTAACATCTTGCCACCGAGGCGCCCCAATCGATACATTTGTTCACGTGACAACTTTATTACTTGGCAGTCTCAGGTGGCGGAGGGTGTACGACACACATTTTGCTCACGCGGCAATCTGGCCCAAGATCCAATTATTAAATTTATTTCTGTTTCACCATTTCAAATATTGCATGCCCGCACCTCTGATTAGCACGGTTGGCTACATTCGGCGCGAAATAAGTTCTACATAACACACGTACACTCACCCGCTCACTCACCCACTCACTCACTCACCCACTCATGGTCCGCTACGTTCGGTGCGAAAGAAGTTCTACATAACACACGTACACTCACCCGCTCACTCACCCACTCACTCACTTCACCCACTCACGGTCCACTACGTTTGGTGTGAAAGAAGTTCTACATAACACACGTACACTCACCCGCTCACTCACTCACCCACTCACTCACTCACCCACTCACGGTCCACTACGTTTGGTGTGAAAGAAGTTCTACATAACACACGTACACTCACCCGCTCACTCACCCACTCACTCACTCACCCACTCACGGTCCGCTACGTTCGGTGCGAAAGAAGTTCTACATAACACACGTACACTCACCCGCTCACTCACCCACTCACTCACTCACCCACTCACGGTCCGCTACGTTCGGTGCGAAAGAAGTTCTACATAACACACGTACACTCACCCGCTCACTCACCCACTCACTCACTCACCCACTCACGGTCCGCTACGTTCGGTGCGAAAGAAGTTCTACATAACACACGTACACTCACCCGCTCACTCACCCACTTACTCACTCACCCACTCACGGTCCACTACGTTTGGTGTGAAAGAAGTTCTACATAACACACGTACACTCACCCGCTCACTCACCCACTCACTCACTCACCCACTCACGGTCCGCTACGTTCGGTGCGAAAGAAGTTCTACATAACACACGTACACTCACCCGCTCACTCACCCACTCACTCACTCACCCACTCACGGTCCGCTACGTTCGGTGCGAAAGAAGTTCTACATAACACACGTACACTCACCCGCTCACTCACCCACTCACTCACTCACCCACTCACGGTCCGCTACGTTCGGTGCGAAAGAAGTTCTACATAACACACGTACACTCACCCGCTCACTCACCCACTCACTCACTCACCCCCTCACAGTCCGATACGTTCGGTGTGAAGGAAATTCTACATAACACACGTACACTCACCCGCTCACTCACCCACTCACTCACCCCCTCACAGTCCGATACGTTCGGTGCGAAAGAAGTTCTACATAACACACGTACACTCACCCGCTCACTCACCCACTCACTCACCCCCTCACAGTCCGATACGTTCGGTGTGAAGGAAATTCTACATAACACACGTACACTCACCCGCTCACTCACCCACTCACTCACCCCCTCACAGTCCGATACGTTCGGTGTGAAGGAAATTCTACATAACACACGTACACTCACCGGCTCACTCACCCACTCACTCACCCCCTCACAGTCCGATACGTTCGGTGCGAAAGAAGTTCTACATAACACACGTACACTCACCCGCTCACTCACCCACTCACTCACCCCCTCACAGTCCGATACGTTCGGTGCGAAAGAAGTTCTACATAACACACGTACACTCACCCGCTCTCTCACCCACTCACTCACCCCCTCACAGTCCGATACGTTCGGTGCGAAAGAAGTTCTACATAACACACGTACACTCACCCGCTCTCTCACCCACTCACTCACCCCCTCACAGTCCGATACGTTCGGTGTGAAGGAAATTCTACATAACACACGTACACTCACCCGCTCACTCACCCACCCACTCACTCACCCCCTCACAGTCCGATACGTTCGGTGTGAAGGAAATTCTACATAACACACGTACACTCACCCGCTCACTCACCCACTCACTCACTCACCCCCTCACGGTCCGCTACGTTCGGTGTGAAGGAAATTCTACATAACACACGTACACTCACCCGCTCACTCACCCACTCACTCACTCACCCACTCACGGTCCGCTACGTTCGGTGCGAAAGAAGTTCAACATGCGCGCGTACAAACTAAGCCCACGATGTTTGTGGCCATCGCCACCCATTTACCGGGTGACCGTCGTGAGCGCGACGCAGACGCGGAATCAAACCGTGGACGGTGGCTTCGGGGCGTGGACGCCGTGGCGGGGGTGCGAGCACGCCGACGGATTGGGCGTGGGGGGCCACTGCTCGTGCCGGACGCGGGCGTGCGACCGCCCGGCCCCGCGCTGCGGGGGTCGCGCGTGCGAGGGCGCCCGCACGCAGGTGGCCAACTGCTCCAGGTGAGCGAGGCAATGCGTTTGATTTTTTGTTAAAATTTCTATTTTTTTTCAGTTTTTTTTTCGTTTTTCGTGCTCCTCAACTTTATTCCACAGACACGTCCCCTCAAAGCGACAGCTTGTGGGGAAGCCTTCGTCCGGCAGTGGATTGATCGTGCCTCACGACGACACTGATGGCGATGGTGATATTGGTTTCAGCATCTCTGGCTCAGTGCTCTGACCCCCTATACCACGTGTGTGTGTGTGCCTTAAAGTGCACATAGTCTGGCACAAGAGCCATGGTGATGTCACCGCTACTTAGTGGCGAATGACAGATGTTGTTGTTGTTGTGCGTGCATGCGTGTGTGTGTGTCTGTGTGGTGGGCGGTGGTGTAGCGGTTAGCGAGCTGCTGTACGAACCCGGCGACCCGAGTTACGATTCCCGCTCACGGCCAACACCAGTGACGATTATTTGAACCGGTCCTGGGCCTCTATTAGATCGACTCAGCCTCAGATGAGTACTTGGTGCGATGTGTAAACATCACCACTGGGGAGACAAAGGCGGCCGGGCGTGGTGCTGGCTACCCACCCCCTCGTGTGCAGTGCCGGCCTTCATAGGTGCTCGCTCACAGCACTTGCCCCAACAGTCTGTTCAAGCTACACGGGGGATCTTTGTCTTTTATCCTGGATGTTTGTGCACGCGGGCTCGCAAGCATGTGTATGTGTGTGTGTGATCATGCGTGTGCGTGTGTGCGTGTGTGATGATGCGTGTGTGTGTGTGTGTGCTCTAGGAGCGGAGGCTGGAGCCCCTGGGCACCGTGGTCCGAGTGCAGCGCCACCTGCGGGGGCGGCGCTCAGAGGCGAACGCGCGCCTGCAGCAACCCCACTCCCCGGCACGGTGGCCGGGCCTGCGAGGGACAGAGCTACGAGGAGAGGTCACAAAGACCCCCTTCCCCCGTATAGCCTCGAACGACAGACTGTTGGGGCATCACGCGCCGGCCGCCTTTGTCTCCCCAGTGGCGAGCGATGTTTACACACAGCGCGCTAGGTACTCGCTCGAATCGGAATCTTTGTTTAGACCGCAGGAGGAATCCGATGAGCTATGAAGCTCTTTTTTTTACAGATGTCCAGTAGGGTCGGGTCAGAAAGTTACATATTGAGGCTGAGTCGACCTAGGAGAGGCCCAGGACCGGTTCAGGTAATCGTCACTGGTGCCGGCCGTGAGCGGGAATTGAACTCAGGTTGTTGGGTTCTCCGAGGGAAGCAGCGCTAAGCGCTACGCTCCCCTCAAACACACGTACAGAGGCACACTCGCATACAGTCTTCCTTTGTCAGCCCAGAGAGGGCATAGACCGTGTTGAGACACCAATTGCCGATGATTTGTGCAAAGCTGGGCACGTAACTCGGGTCACCGAGTTTGTAGCACCTTGCTTTAACCACTCCACTACCGCTTCCCACACTGTCACACACACACAGACAAAGATCACCCGTATAGCCTCAACATACTGTTGGGGCAAGTGCTGTTTGCGAGCACCTAAGACCGACACGGCAAATGAGGGGGTCGGTGGCCAACGCCGCCTTTGTATCCTAAGTGGCGAAGTTTACCTAGGCGACGCCCAGGACCGGTTCAAATAATCGTCACTGGCTGTGGCTGTGAGCAGGAATTGAACCCGGTTCACCGGGTTTGCAGTGTAGCGCGCTACCCGCTACACTACACACACACGCACACACGCACACACACGCACGTGCTCACAATGGGACCTGACCCGCTCGCGGAATGACAGCTTCCCGCTCCCCTCCCCCTCCTTCGCAAAGCATCCACCGATCAAAACGAATCTCATTTAAAATGCATTGAATTCATCAGCCCTCACAAGCAACATCCCCGAACCCTTTGTGGCCAGGAATACATCGTTATACACACGGATTATTATTTTTTCTTCCCCACTTATCTACCGAAATAATGCGCCAGTGCGCCTTATCTGCTAACGACACAATTTCCGCGCTGAAATGTGTGCATCGCGTCTCGCGCGTTTCCGCCAAATTCAAAACGACAACGTGGAATAACGTTGCAGAGGATGGCATGCGACTGTGGTCCTGTGGCCTTGTGACCTATGACATGCCTCTTTATGGAATCGTGGGGAAAGCTGGAACAGGCGGAGCTCAGATTAGATCGGTGTGATGGGGGCATCTTTCACAAATGGAAGACTCGTTCAGTTTGTGCACATTCGTATTGGGAAGCTACGACAGGTCATGCGTACGACCAACTCACACCTGATCTCCAAAATTCACCCGATCTCGTCACGGTGGCGTGGTGTTAACTATCTCGCCTGGTATATAGGAGGTCGCAGATTGGATTTCGACCCTGATGCTTGATTTATGTTTGAGGATTTTTGCATGTCCTCCCCGTGGTCACTTGGATTTTCTCTGGGCCCTCCGGTTTTCAGCTGATTAAATTTTCCACGTGATAAGCCACTTTGTTGAGCTATCATTTGTGACCAGGTCGCTTCTGAAAAAGAGCTATATAGCTTAGTGGGCCTTACCTGGTAAAGTTAAAAATAGTTTTAGTTTGTAACCCACAAGCTAAGCTGCATGGGATAGTGCTTGGACTGGTGGACCACGATCCATGAAATAGGTATTGTAGGTGGCTGCGGTGCTCCGTTGTGTGCAGCAGGGTGCAGTACGGCAAAATGCACGTGCATTATTGTACTGAGATTATATTCTCTGAAGGCTGTGCTACCTGCCTTGATGAACCTGCTCTGAACAGAGTGGTGAATTATGACCCACATGCAGGGCCCGATTTAGATTTTGCACGCCCCTGGTACTGTAGGGCCCCCAGAAATATTTTCAAAACGAAAACAAAGTTAAAGAAAAATAAAATTTATTTTTTACAAAATTAACAACAAATAAAATTCAGCATTCACAAATTAAATAACTTTCACTTCATCTCTGAAGGCTCCTCCAGCTGGTGGAGGCCCCTGGGCTGCAGCCTCTAAAGCCCCCGTGCCCTAATCCGGCCCTGCCCACATGGCATGGGGCGGCCATCATCTAGCAGTGGATTGACATAAGGACTGAACATCCACATGATGAAAATGAAGATTTGTGTGCGTGCATGCGTGCGCGTCCATGTATTTTTGTGTGTCTGTGTGTGCTCCAGACTTTGTAATGAGAGGACACCGTGCCCACCTGTTGTCTCCTGGTCACACTGGGGGATCTGGTCAGACTGCACCAAACCGTGCGATGGGGGGTTCCAGGTGCGACGTCGGATCTGCCTGCACGGGAGCCACTGCCCCGGCTGCGACGTGGTACGCTCCGACAGAAAAATCCCACATGCTCGTACAGCACACTCATTGCGCGTGCAGCGAACCGCGCACTCCCTGCCACCTCTCCCCACCCACCTAGGCACTCTCCGTCTCACCGTTCACCCACGGCCTCCCCCCGAATGACTCAACATTTTAACCGCACACGGATTGCACGAACGTGTGACTCTCGACCTTTTTTTGTCGCTTCGACCCCGTCGCCCCCCGTCGCCGCCAGTCGCACCGCGCGTGCAATGAGGAGCCGTGCGGGGAGGCACGCGCCCACACGCCCTGGACGCCGTGGGCCACCTACAACGCGAGCAGTGACCATGGCGGCGGCCGCGGCGTGGGCCCCGTCGGAGCGCGCTGGGAGCGGCGCTTCCGCTTCACGTGCCGAGCGCGGGGGTTGCCGACGCCCGACGGTGTCCACGTGGGGCACGCGCGCTCCGAGACGCGCTACTGCCCCGCCGGGCTGCCCGACGCCTGCCCGCCCGATCACGGTGAGGGCGAGTGGCGGAACTAGCATAGCAGAGGTCGCAAACGGGTTTTGATTCCTTACCCGTACCCGTACCCGGCTGCACCAGGGTCGCAAATGGGTACCCGTACCCGGCCGGGTACGGATACCCGTTCCCTACCCGTACCCGTACCCTACCCGAAATGAGTGACAAACGGTTACTCACCAGTGACTCACGGTCTACCCGTACCCATACACCGGCCGCACCAGGGTCGCAAACGGGTACCCGTACCCGGCCGGGTACGGGTAGCCGGGTATTGGGTAGGGTACGGGTATCGGGTACCCGGTTGCGACTTCTGTGGCATAGGCACGCGGCGTACGACGTAACCGGTGTTGGCCAAACATGCCAATGCCAGGACCCTGCTGAAAAAGGGGTCTTCGGACTCGGTATGTCTCTAAGAGAGTTGCTTTTCACGATTTCGTTTGTTGCCAGATACGGCCCTCGCAGTTTTGAGGTTTCCAGCCCGAGACGTGGACACAGGAATACCGGCAGCAGATGTTCGAGGTGCACCCATGACAGCGTAACGAGTGTGGATGCAGGGGGTGCCTTGCCCCCTCCCCCCCCACCACCCCTTGGTGGCCAAAGCTACAAGAAGGGGCCCCCTTGACAACCACCATGAGATGTAGTCTTTGGGTCTTTCAGTCAAGTCACGTAGATAGGTTCAAAGAAAATAATTCGTGCAGTCACGAAAGCTTTAAGTCAAGATTTAACCATGAGATGTGTTTTCAACAACACTGATTTAAAACGCGGTTTAAATTAATTTGGACCAAAACACTTTCATTTACGTTCCACGTTTTATCTTAATTGTATTAGAGCGGAGACGTTTGGCTTCCGCAAATTGCGCATCGCATGTTTGTTTCTATGTTGTTGTCATCATAGTGTAACCAGGTAAACAAGCACAGCTGTAGTGCCTGCATTTTGTGAAGACGGAGTGCCCCTACAGCGTGAAATGTTCGAGACCGTGAGCGCCATGATGTGATTAGGCAAGGGAAACCGCAACAAATAAATAGCCTAGGTGCGACCGTGCGAGACGAATCGAATACGGGGTCCCCATCTGATCAGACTGCTGCACCCTTCAAGCTGGTAATGTAGTCACTACATTAGTCACTACATTACCAGCTGTCCGACTGAGCTGGTAATGTAGTCACTACATGACCAGCTCAGTCAGATAGCTCGCAAATCTAGAATGAAAGCTAATTTCTTTAGAACTTCTTTTCGTGTTCAGTTTGTTGTCCTTCCCCCCCACCCTCACACCTCCGATTAGCACGGCTGGCTATGTATGGCGCGAAAGAAGTTCGATGTACCGCACATACATAGCTGGCTATCCGGTTTGCCAACCAGCTGGTCAACCGTCAAGTTAGATGGGCAACTCGCCATCAAGTCAGCCAGCAGGCCAGCCCTGGGACAAAACTAAATATAGTTTAACACTATATTGGTCGCTTTCGCGATCAATATCATACATAATGTTGCACACTCGAGATGAAGGACGTGGGCAGGTGCTCCAAATCGAGGGCAAGCACATTTATTTATTGTGGTTCATATGAATCTTGGGAAGAACAGCACCGTCACTCTGTAAAATGCAACAGCGCGTGTTACACGCAGCAATCCTTCCGAGACGCCATTAACCATGTGGCTGGTTTACACGTCCCGTTATTCATTAACCCTTTCTCTTAAACCCAATTCTACTGCTGATAAACCATCTTTGTCTTTGACAATCACATTTGCACATCACTATTCGAATATTACTTTAATCCTAAGCTGTATGTCTATCTATACCAGGGGTCGGCAACCAAAATAACAATAAGAGCCATTTCTTTCCAATTCGGTACAAAATTCAGTATTTTAAGAGCCGCAATGCATCTGAGTACATACGTACTCATCGTCAAGAAGCAGCCCGTAAAGAGCCGCATGCGGCTCCGGAGCCGTAGGTTGCCGACCCCTGATCTATACCATCCACTTCTATTGGTATCTTACACCCATTATATGTACTGTATGTGTACAGTATACGTATCACCATTGTACAGCTTACTACTTTACATGTGTTCTATGCTCAATAGCATTGCAAGTAGTCATACTCTGGGGACATGGGCATGGTTATAGACTAGTAGTCATACTCTGGGTACATGGGCATGGTTATAGACTAGTAGTCATACTCTGGGTACATGGGTATGGTTATAAATTAAACAGTATTAGAGTTAGAGAATTACAATGACAATAACTAATTACAGTGCGTCATCCCTTTACAATGCACAGTGCTAAAACGCCTCTAATTGCATATATCACAAACGAACAATTCAAAGCCAAGCTTAAAGTCTAAAACAAGTCTAGAACAAGTCTAGAACATTTATATAACGATCAAAAATAACCTTTGGGTCCTTTACCTGTAAAATGCAACAGCGCGTGTTACATGCAGCAATCCTTCCGAGACGCCATTAACCATGTGGCTGGTCTACATGTGCGGTTATTCATTAACCCTGCCAGCCACCTACAGGCCCGACTCAGACATTACATGCTGCTGTACACACATGCATTGATGCATTGCACAGCACATCAGGACCTTCACAGCACCACACTTTACTCCCTTGCTGCACAAGGACACACTTAAAAGAGTGATCCATTCCTAATGTGCCACAATAATACAAGTTTTTTTTTGGGTTAGATCGTGTAAATAGAAATTTGTCGAGTAACAAAATGGCATGGAACGAATTGCCATGGTACGTGGCAAACCTTACTAATTGGCTATGTCGGGTGGTGGCAGGTTTAACGACACATTTATATTCATGCGATCTAACCCAAAAAAAAACCCTGTATTATAGATAATATAAAGTACCGGTTGTGCTACCCACTGCTCTCCACTTTTGCCACGATAGTCAACAGTCAGGAATTAGCTTTCCCTCCAGCCATCTGTCTGTGCTGTTGGTTCAAGACTTTCCTTTTTGTCTCTCTGCCTATTACCAACTGCCACATCCAAAAAGGAAATATCCGTAAAAAGATAATTATCCCCGCTGTTTCTGAACTCAGCGTCTTGAGATGCGGTCGCATTTAGCTGCTACATAAGCACACACTTTAGCGAATAAAATGCGGTGGATGCGGTGTAAACTTGAATACAACCGGCCATCTATATATATAAAATCGTTCATGTCTGTCTGTGTGTGTGTGTATTTCGGCCCATACGCACTTTCATTGGACGGCGGTTGCCCCTGGCAACGGCTAGCCACGCCTTCGCCGCTTTCATTGGACCTGGCAACGGCTAGCGACGCCTTCGCCAAGGGCTGCAGTTTCATTGGACGGCGGTTGCCCCTGCCAACGGCTAGCCACGCCTTCGCCACTTTCATAAGCTCCGTATTTAATTAAATAATAGCCATTACACAGTATTGTTGGAGCGCTGAGGGGGGGGGGAAGGAACGCCACCCGTACCCTGCCTCTTCCAAGCCGACAATTTTAGGCGAGGCCGCAGGCTTTGCACGCTACTAGGCCTCGACACCCACCACGCCACTCTGAGGTAAATTCATCAAAGTTTTTCCTACTCTTCACTACACCCCCAACCACAATGTGTGCTATTAATATTACTTTTAAACCCAACGCGCCAACAATCGATTACTTTAATGTTCACTGTACAAATACTCATTAAGCTGGGTGAGCGTACTGCCAGTCTATCATGTACACTGTAGCCTGCTTATTAAGCTCGGTGAGCGTACTGGCACTCTATCATGTACACTCTAGCCTGCTTATGAAGCTGACTGCGTGTACTGGCAGTCTATAATGTGGACTGTAGCCTGGTTATTATAATCGATTCTTTATATGTTCTTTGTACAAACAGTCATTAAGCTGCTTGAGCGACCCCAGTTCGATTCCAACTCACGCCCACCACCGCTGACGATTATTTGAAACGGACCTGGCCCTCCCCTAGGTCCACTCAGCCTCAAACGCGTAACTGCTGTCGTGTGTGAACATCGTCACTGGGGAGACAAAGGCGGCGGGGCATTGTGGATCCAAGTCCCGGGCGAAGCCGGGTCATGTGTATGTGTGTTTGTGTTTATGTGTATGTCTGTGTGTCTCTATGTATGTGTATGTATGTGTATGTATGTGTTTGTGTGTATGTGTGTGTGTATGTATGTGGGTTTTTTTTATGTCTTTATGTGTATGTCTGCGTGTCTCTATGTATGTGTGTATGTACGTGTGTGCATGTGTTTGTGTGTATGTATGTGTGTGTCTATGTATGTGTGTGTATGTGTTTTTGTGTATGTATGTGTGTGTATGTATGTGTGTTATGTGTCTGTCTGTGTCTGCATGTATGTGTGTGTGTATTGTGTATGTGTTTGTGTGCATGTATGTGTGTGTTTGTGTGTATGTGTATGTCTGTGTGTATGTGTTTGTGTGTATGTGTGTGTATGTGTGTGTATGTGTTTGTATGTGTTTGTGTGTTTACGCTCGCATTACACAAATGTGTTGCTGGTCTAAGGCGTTCCTCGCACAGCATTGCCGCTTTATTATTTCAGTCGTTTACTGCCTTACGCACCCTGAAAGTCGTGTGTGTCTGCAGCAAGCGCGTGTATGTGTACCTATGGACGCGCGCGCGTGTGTTGTGTAGGGGGAACGGTAGTGTAGTGCTTAGCGTGCTGTCTGTGTCTGTATGTGTGTGTGTGTCTGTCTGTGTCTGTCTGTGTGTGTCTGCGTGTGTCTGTGTGTGTGTCTGTGTGTGTGCGTGTGTGGTGTGTGGGGAGCGGTAGTGTAGTGCTTAGCGTGCTGTCTGTGTGTGTGTGTGTCTGTCTGTGTCTGTCTGTGTGTGTCTGCGTGTGTCTGTGTGTGTGTCTGTGCGTGTGTGGTGTGTGAGGAGCGGTGGGTGTAGTGCTTAACGCTACGCTGCGCTACCAACCCGGCGAACCCAGTTCCATTCCCGCTCACGGCCACCACCGGTGACGATTATTTGAACCTCCCCTAGGTCCACTCAGCCTCAAACGAGTAACTGGTGTGGCGTATTAACATCGGCACTTGGGAGACAAAGGCGGCTGGGCGTGGTAGATCCAAGTCCCAGGCGAAGCCGGGTCATGTGTATGTGTTTATGTGTATGTCTGTGTGTCTGTATGCATGTGTGTTTGTATGTGTGTGTATGTGTTTGTGTGTATGTCTGTGTGTGTATGTATGTCGGTTTTGCCGCCGTGGTGGATCCAAGTCCCGGGCGAAGCCGGGTCATGTGTATGTGTTTATGTGTATGTCTGTGTGTCTGTATGCATGTGTGTATGTATGTGTGTGTATGTGTTTGTGTGTATGTCTGTGTGTGTATGTATGTCGGTTTTGCCGCCGTGGTGGATCCAAGTCCCGGGCGAAGCCGGGTCATGTGTATGTGTGTATGTGTTTATGTGTATGTCTGTGTGTCTGTATGCATGTGTGTATGTATGTGTGTGCATGTGTTTGTGTGTATGTATGTGTGTGTGTATGTATGTGGGTTTTTTTGTATGTGTTTATGTGTATGTCTGCGTGCCTGTATGTATGTGTGTATGTACGTCTGTGGATGTGTTCGTGTGTATGTATGTGTGTGTCTATGTATGTGTGTGTATGTGTTTCTGTGTTTGTATGTGTGTGTATGTATGTGTGTTATGTGTCTGTCTGTGTGTCTGCATGTTAGTGTGTGTGTATTGTGTATGTGTTTGTGTGTGTTTGTGTGTTTACGCTCGCATTACACAAATGTATAATGCGGGTCTAAGGCGTTCCTTACACAGCATTGCCGCTTTATTATTTCAGTCGTTTACTGCCGTATGCACCCTGAAGTCGTGTGTGTCTGCAGCAAGCGCGTGTATGTGTACCTATGGACGCGCGCGCGTGTGTTGTGTAGGGGGAACGGTAGTGTAGTGCTTAGCGTGCTGCCTGTGTGTGTGTGTCTGTGTGTGTGTGTCTGTGTGTGTGTCTGTGTGTGTGTCTGTGTGTGTGCGTGTGTGGTGTGTGGGGAGCGGTAGTGTAGTGGTTAGCGTGCTGTCTGTGTGTGTGTTTCTGTCTGTGTGTGTCTGCGTGTGTCTGTGTGTGTGTCTGTGTGTGTGTCTGTGCGTGTGTGGTGTGTGAGGAGCGGTGGGTGTAGTGCTTAACGCTACGCTGCGCTACCAACCCGGCAAACCCAGTTCGATTCCCGCTCACGGCCACCACCGGTGACGATTATTTGAACCTCCCCTAGGTCGACTCTGCCTCAAACGAGTAACTTAACTACTGTAGCGTATTAACATCGCCACTGGGGAGACAAAGGCGGCCGGCCGTGGTAGATACAAGTCCCGGGCGAAGCCGGGTAGTACAGCTAGTAAAGTACAAAAAAATACTATTTCAGGCGATGGCTGAATATATTACCGACTAAAATCACCCAGAAATGTCTGTCCGTCCCGCGCGTGACGTCACTCCACATGAGGCCCACCCCCCCCCCCGCGTAACGTCACTCCACATGAGGCCCACCCCCCCGCGTGACGTCACTCCACATGAGGCCCACCCCCTCATAAATATTCATGAGTGGGTGGATTTTTACACGAACGCAAAGGAAGGTCGACTGATTTCAATAATTTATTACGCAACATCGCTTCAAATATGACGTTTCTTTACAGAAAGTGACGGTAAAAAATAATTGTACGCAGCACAGTGCTTCGTCGGTGTGTGACGTCACTGCAAAAGAGCCCCCCCCCTTCATTAATATTCAGGCGCACGTGGAAATTTACACTGACGCACAAGGTCGCTCATTCCAGATGCCGCACCCCTCCCCTCATTAATAATCATGAGCGTGTGACGTCACTCAACATGCCGCACCCCTCCACAATAACCATGAGGGGGTGACGTCACTCCACATGCCGCACCCCTCCCCAATAACCATTAGCGGGTGACGTCACTCTACATGGGGCATCCCTCCCCCTCATTAATGATTATGAGCTGAACAATTTTTCTATTGAATGTTTCAGATTTACTGCAATATACACCAGTCCTTGGACGGGCAAAAAAGCCATGGCACTATATTGTCTCCCAGGGTTATTTATGTCTACAATTCAAAGGGCTCTTCCTGCTTTATCTCAACTCTGCTGCATTGTCTTTTGCCATGGTGGCCTGCATAAGGGCTTGTTAGCGGCACAATTTTTTGGGACATCAACAACGGTGATTGTCCTCAGGAGAAAGTCGTCATTCATTGCCATTGGAGTGTTGAATTTCCATCATTGGCTGAGCACCGTCAATGGAGATTAGTTCTCAAATTGTTATACGAACAAATACTCTGTCACTTTCAATATCGCTCGCGCTGACGTTTTGAATACCAATTGTGCTCTCTCTCTATCTCGCTCGCTCTGGCTGGCTGGCTGGCTAGCCGGATGAATTTCCGCCTTATGAGTCTCTGTCCAGATTACTTAGCCAGGAAATTGCTCCAGTCGATGGCGCTGCGGATTGCTTGAAGTGGTTCTCCGTCTGTTCCGCGGCACGGTCGGCGGTTCCACAGTCGCACACCGGGACGTTATTTTCATTCACGCTCTCTTGATGTGGTCGCAGCGCCGACCGACCTTGCCGTGAGATGAGCGGTTTTGGATCAATGTGGACGACCATTGTTGTTTTTGTGCTGGAGATGAAAGCCCACAGGCTCCCTCAGTTTGGTCTGCCACCAGGTGCCCATCCAGGGGCATCACGGTGGTGAGATGTTAACGACCTGACGCCTGTATATTTGGAGTTTGCACGTGCTCCCTGTGGTCGCGTGGATTTTTCTCCGAGTCCTCCGGTTTTTCTCTCCACATCTAGAAACGCGCGTTTAGAGTATTTTACTGGTATAAATGTCCACGTGATGAGCCACTTCGTTGAGCTATCATATTGTGGCCAGGTAGCTTCTGAAAAAGAGCTGCGTATATCTCTCTTCTGTCATCTATCTTTCTATCTCTTTTATTTAACTCTGTTGTTGCTGTCGTATCCTCAAATATTGTAACTCAATTTAACCCACTTCCCAATGTGGTATCGACTGCAAACTTCGTATACTTATGTCTTACTGATGACAATACTATATTCTATCATTAAAAAAAATATATATATATTTTTTAACCATTTTTTTAATATTTTATGTTTCGGATTGGGTCTAATTGTCCACGCTCAACTGAGGTTGGCTGTAAATCACCACGGCCCCTTACGTTATGGCAAGCCTCGGGGCCACTTCCTGGAGTCGTGGAGTTCTGCCATGACTCGTACGGTACATTTCATTAAAGCGTGTTTTAAAAAAAAGTATTACTAAATATTACTTATTTTACTCCATCTCTCTCTCTACATCTCTCTCATCTGTATCTGTCTTCTCCCATCTCATTGCAGATCTATCTGCTCTGTCATCTCTCTGAATCTCCGTCTCTTTTAGAAACCTCCCTTCCCTTGTCGCACAGAGAGTCTTTAAATCGAAATAGGGGCCCCGCTAAAATAATTTCGACTTCTGGACCCCGTTGAATTGGTCAGCCCCACCATCATGTCCAGATCCGTCGCAATTCTGTTTCTGCGAGTCTCTTGAGACTGAGCGTGAAATCTCCTATTAGCACGGTTGGCTACATATGGTGCGAAAGAAGTTCAACATACATACAGCCCATAGACTCAACACTGCCAATAGACTAACACTACCCATAGACTCAACACTGCCCATAGATTAACACTACCCATAGACTCAACACTGCCAATAGACTAACACTACCCATAGACTCAACACTGCCCATAGATTAACACTACCCATAGACTCAACACTGCCAATAGACTAACACTACCCATAGACTCAACACTGCCAATAGACTAACACTACCCATAGACTCAACACTGCCAATAGACTAACACTACAAATAGACTCAATACTGCCAATAGACTAACACTACCCATAGACTCAACACTGCACCTCCTATAAGCACGGTTGGCTACGTACGGTGCGAAAGAAGTTCAACATACATACGTACTACACCATACACTACATACTGCATTACACTATACACTGCTATACACTACGCTATACACTACATTAGTATACACTACACTACTATACTAAATTGAAAACGAATTTCTTTAAAACTGCTTTTAGTATTTCGTTTGTTGTCTTACCCCCTTCCCACATCTCCGAATGAGCACGTTTGGCTACGTACGGTGCGACAGAAGTTCAACACACACGCGCACGCGCACACATCCCATGCACAAACCGAATCGTTGTCCCCGTGCAGGCGCCACGGACTCGAGGTCCCCTCCCCAGGGCCCCGCCACGGCCCCGTGGGCCCCGTGGGCCGCGTGGTCGCCCTGCTCCGTGTCGTGCGGCCGGGGCTTCCGCGTGCACCGCCGCGCCTGCCTGCAGCCCGACTCGTGGGTCAAGGGTCAGGCGGCGTGCGCGGGGTCACCGGAGGAGTACGAGGAGTGCGAGGAGAAGCCGTGCCAGGGTGAGGGGTGCACCGCGCGCACGCACAGACAAAGCTTCCCCCGCGTATAGCCTTCACATGCTTGTGGGGCAAGGGCTGCTAGCGAGCAGCACCTAGGAAGGGCAACAAGGCACAGGTGGGGGTGGGTGGCCGGCACCACGCCCAGCCGCCTTTGTCTCCCCGGTTGGTAATGTTTACAAATGGCGCCAGGTACTTATTTGATGCTGAGTCGACCTAGGGGAAGCCCAGGGCTGGTTCAGATAATCGTCACTGGTGTTGGTCGTGAGCGGGATTCGAACTCGGGTGGCCAGGTTCGCAGCGCAGCGTGCTAACAACCACCATTCCCCGCAATCGACTCACACACGCAAATAACCTTGAGATGTATGTAGACACAGGGCATTTATTGACAAGGATATTGTCATTGCTCAATATCGCTTGCAAAGTTGATCATGCTGATGGGGATATTTGCTGATGGGATCACCGGATGGGCATTGAGTGGAGTGATGGAGCGATGTGTGACAGGGAGATTCCGGCCGGGTTGAAGGGGAAAGTGTATCAGACATTAATAAGAGCAACTCGGATTAACGCGAAAGAAGTTCTACATACGTGCACACATTGGCTTTCGGTTCTGAATGTTGGACTAGAAAAACCAGGGAGGAGCAAGACCGTGGGCGGGGCTGGGTAACGTCATCGGCATCAGCAGCTGTGTCGCGCTGGGCGTGGCTTGTAGGGGGTTGCCCGCCTTCAAGGAGGCAAGATGCCCCGAGTGATCGATCACTAGAAAAGTCGTCGATCGCAATATTTAGCCACTGCTTAACTTAAGCAGTATAAATGGGCGCACCACAGTTAAGTCGATCGGCAGGGCCGCGTGTGATGGGGTAAAGTGTGGGTGCTCCCACCTCTTCCAAGATGCCTGGCCAGCATGGAAGAGTAGGCCAAATTTCAGGGCTGGACCCCATGTACCCTAATGGACGAGTCGTCCCGGCTCTGAGTGAAAAGTCTCCACTGTTTTTCGCCGCCTCTGCTTGCCAGGGCGCAGCTTCTGGTGCTCCTGGGGCCCGTGGTCTCCATGCTCGCCGTCGTGCGGAGTGGGCCGGCGCGAGCGCTCGCGGACGTGCGAGGGGGACCACTGCGTCGGCGAGAGGGTGCAGCGCGAGGAATGCAACAACCACACTTGTCCAGGTGAGTTCAGGTGAGAAGGCCTCTCGGGGCTTGCACGGCCAAATGCCCTCCGTTTGTTGAGACAAAAACGCGAGCACAATGTGGGAACTGAAACTCCGGAACAATTCGAATTCGGTGCGACGGGAACCGTACGTATTTCGGCCACGGTGGGCAGCCACGAACAAAAACATCATCATCATCATCATCGAGGACCCGACCGACCGTGGTTAGTTACCGGGATTCTCTTTCTCTGTCTCATGACGGCTGTGGACCGCTCTGAACCGCGCTCGGACGCAGGACGGGAGGTGCGCGTTGTACACGTTCCATAAATGGAAAATCAAGAATCGCCAAACTGCCACTGTGGCGAAACCCAAACCATCAAACCACGTGATAAGCCACTTCGATTGAGCTATCATTTGTGGCGAGGTCGCTTCTAAAAAAGAGCTACATCACTCAGTGGGCCTTACCTGGTAACATAAAAATAGTTTAGTTTTACCCAGCCGCGTCACGCTTTCCCTAACCAGGAGCGCCGCTCAGCTGTCTGCAACCCCCTTCCCATTTTCCGTCATCATTGCTCACAGCACCTAGGGGCCCGGTCCACGTTACTTTCTTTCAAGGCCCCGTTCCCTACCCCTCCCCCTCCTCTCCTCCTCTTCCTTCTCCGGTGAACTTGACGTGCTCGCGGGCTCCCAGAGGCGAGCTGGTCTCAGTGGGGCCCGTGGGGAGCGTGCGAAATGGTGCGCCGCCGCCAGGCTCGCGCGAGGAGCTGCCCGGGCGAGCGCCTTTCGGGGACTCGCTGCGCGGGGAACGCCACCGAGACGAGGGCCTGTGGAGACACCACTGTCCCACCTTCAGGTGGGCCATCGTCGTTGGGCGCAGACACAAATTATTATTTTTGTTTGCCGGTAATGGGGTTTCTTTGCAGTGCCAAAGTCGTTAGTTGACCTTCAGCCCCGAACGGTAATTGTCACCTGTACGATACGGAGCACGGATCCCGCCAGAGTCGGGTTCCGGTTGTTATATCCGAGGTGCAACACCCAGTTCCCAGTCGCGTTGATTGATGTTCCAGCAACTCACAGATTCATTCCAATCACTCGCTCACTGGCGGTTCAGTCTCCTCCTTGTCACTCTTCTATTACTACTGCCGTAGTCACTCTTCTGTGGCTACTGCCCTAGTCACTCTTCCCATGAACTTCACCCATTCACGTCTCCACCGCTGCTGAAGACTCGATCCGCCACACTGACTGTTGCGTCTCACCCACACTGAGTTGATCCATCGCCGCACTGCGCGTCACAACAACAGCACACCCACCCACCCACTCCAGTTAGGCGACAAACGATAATTGTTTTCAAAATTGGACCATGACACTAACATAAGCCCCCCCCCCCCCCCCCTCTCTGGCGTGTCATTCATTTATATTATTCTTGTTGCTTTTGTTTTTTCAGCCACAGAATTTGACGCAGCGGTGAATGATTCCCAGTGTGGCGGAGGTAAGAGAAACAGTCCCGCAAAATGAGCGGAATCGCTGTGGAAAAAAACGTTGGCAACCCCACAAAAGCTCGCTGTCCACAAGCGAGGTCCGTCGTTGAGACCAAGATGGATTAAGATGCATCATGGGAAAAGCTCGTCGTTACGTTCATCGTGCAGCCATCGATTGTAGATTGTTCCTGTGAAGCTAGCAGGGGGTTATCTTAACGTATACATACGTAGGCTCTCAACGTTTTCAAGGATAACCTCTCAGACGCATTTGGATATTTTTTATTAGCCCTGCAGGGAAACTCTGCGCTGCAGTGTAATTAAATAGCTGGGGACTGCATCGGCATTGATGCAGAATGCAGTGTTTGTGTGTGACGGTTCAATGCATTCGTGCATTTCAGTGCCACAATTCGATTCAAGAAGAGAATTCCTTTTCTTATTTTTGCCGTGTCTCGTTTGTATTGTTCGTCGTTTGCTCTGTCTCGTTTATACAGCTTTGTTCGCTCTACTAGCCTAAACGTAACATCAGCATATATTTGTGGATAAATATTACACTTGTTTACCCAACGAGTCTTAAGGCTCTTCTTTTCCCAGAGGGTCCCAATTGAGTAATGTCTTCCAACATTTCTATAATAAAAAGTTTTGCTTTGGGTCAGATCGCGTAAATACAAAAGTGTGGCGATAAACCCGCCACTAGCCCAACACAGTCGATTAGCAAGAGTTTAAATTTCGATTTAAAGCTTTCGTGACTGCAGGGATTCATCTTCTTGGTTTATTCGTTAAAGTCACGTAGAATGGAAGTAATAAAATAAAACATAATAAAATAATTCTCACGACGTTTCGGCCACAACGCAAGCAGCAAGAGTTTGTCACGTAAACCAACAGGTGCCGATTAGTTCCTACATCAGCTGACCGGTGTGCAGGAGGGCAAACCCCCACAGCGCCTTTTGGCGTCATCTGGTCCAACCCATGTGAGACGAGGCTCTAAGGAAAGCTGTCTCGGGTGTGGACCAATCAACTTCAAGGACAGTGCATACATTATCAGAGTTATTTTCTTTTGTTTGTATTATGACTGCAGGTATTGCGGTCTATGCAAACATGACTCCTTGTAAAAAGGTGTCAGTTTTGTTGCCAGATAGAAGGGTAAAAAAACAATTATCAAACCCGGAGAGGCTCGCACGCGCCGTTGTTTCACGCCACGTGCCCGGTGCACTCCGTGCCACCGCTGCGCCAGGCTTCGGCACCGTGGAGCTCCTCGCCGTCGGCGCCGGCTGCGGCTTGGCCTCGGCGCTGCTCACGCTCGCGGCGCACGCCGTCTGGTCCGCTCTCCGCCCGGGGTGCCGGGGCGGCCACTCCGAGCCGGCGGGCGCGCACCCGCAGAAGAACCCGGCGCTGATGCGGACGATGTCGCGCGCAGGCAGGGCGGCGCGGGGCTCCTCAACGGCGTCGCCCTCCTCCTCGTCGTCCACGTCGTCCACCTCCTGCCGCTCGGCCGAAGTGCTCAAGGTGCGTGGGGTCGCGTGGCGATCGCTGTGGGCGACGTGAGGCTTAGGCCCCTGTTCTTAGCCACGGCTCGGCTCAGGCTTGGCTCCGGCTCTAAGCGAGCCGGCTCAAAGCCGTGCTTGACGCGAGCTGGTTTTGAGCATGGTGCCCAGGCGTGCTAGATCGTGTAGATAAAATGACAATTCTTAACTATAAACCTCTACCACCCGACAGAGAAAAATCTGATCAAAGTGCCTGATGACGCTGGTTGTAGTCTGCAGCGAAATCTCGCAGAAAATTGTCGAATAAACTTGACTTTCAGCGTTTCAACATTATACCTACACAACGATCTAATCCAAAATAAACGAATTTTTGAAACTGGCTTAAATAAGTTCACGGGAATAAATGTATCCCGACAATGTTTACAATTAAACAGGAAATCATTGTGTGCGTGCATGTGTGCTGGTGTTCTCACGTGAACGTGTGTGCACGTGTGTGTCTTCGTCAGTGCGTAAATGTGAAAGTTGTTGTATATGAATGCGCATTCATAGTTAGTGGTCACGGTGCTTTGTGCACTGCGCTATGAACCCTTCTGATAATGTCGGCGACGGGTGGTATCAGAACTTGTTCAAAGCCTCTCGTAAATTAACTCGGCCATATGTGAGTACCTAGTGCAGTTTGCAAACATCAGCACCGCAAACACAAAGGCGGCCGGGCACGGTACGAGCCACTCCATCTCTCAAACGGCACTTGCTCCAGCTTTCCGTATGGCTATAAGGAGGAATCTTTGTGACCGTTTGCACTCAGGCTCTCAACAAGTTAAACGCCGAAGCAGACGAGAAGGAGAGAGCATCATACGTGGAGCGTCATCACACCATGCAAGCCTTCACAGACGACTACCACTCCTGCACGAGCCTCTACCAGCAAAGCTGAAGCAATACACCAACTGTATCAACAACAGACTTGCTGACTGCCTGTCCAGTCTAGACGAGTGGCTGGCTTGCGTGATGGATAGTTGACAGGCTGACGTCCTATATGGATGACTGGCTGGCTATTTGGATAACTGGCAGTAGGGGCAGATCCCCAGTTGCCACTGTGATTACCCTGTGTCAATGGCCAATTTGGGAGGAAGAAGAAAAAAAAACAGTCCACAAAGCGGTGTACTCGTACTGGTTACGTTTGATATCTAGACGGGTGTCTGGATCCTAGTCACCTGCTGTGACTGAGAGGCAAGCAGTTCTGAATGTGGAAACAAAAAAGGCAGCTAATAACGTATATATTTGTTCCTCCTGGAAAATCAAACTGACGGAAGCACGTCGATGAAATGTCACTATTTAAAAGTAGCCCCCTTCCCCCCCCCCCCATGGCCATTGCCTGGCATGAGGTTTTTTTTTCTGACGATCGGAGCTCCAGAGGGACTTTGTTTTCTTTCTTAAACCTCACTACTGGAATTGTGGTCATAAAATATGTATATATATTTTTTTTTAAACTATATTGTAAATATTCTATCTTCTATTTTACCTTTTGTTTTTTGTAAATAGCAAAACTTACAAATTGTGGCATTTTCGTGTTTGTGTGTTTTTTTACACAACTGTTGGAGGGGAAAAGATTCACTGCCACCCAATCCCACCCCCAACCCTGGCGATTTTATGAATTTTCTTTAAACTCAAAATACTATTGGTTTTTATTACACTGTGGTGAATGTTGGGAGACATGATTACATTATATGTAAAATATATATATAATTTAAAGCCCTATGTCAATAAAAAAAATTGTTATTTAAACTATTTTTTTATTTTACAAGGTAAGCCCCACTGAGCTATGTAGCTATTTTTCAGAAGCGACCTGGCCACAAATAATAGCTCAACGAAGTGGCTTACCACGTGGAAATTTATAGCAGCCAAATAATCTAAACGCGTGTTGATTCTAAATGGGAAAAACCGGAGGACCCAGATAAAAATCCACACGACCACAATGCAAACTGCAAATATACAGACGTCGGGGTCGGGATCGGGATCGAACCGACGACCTCCTGTATACCTGGTGAGGTAGTTAACATCTCGCTACCGTGGCACCCAGTGCTGGATGAAGGCCTTCCAATGCCGTGTTGGTCATGGCGGTTGTTTGGCCATACTTTATCACGCTGAGTTGGTGCAGGTGGGAGATTCATTATTGCGTTGATATATCTGATGTTAGCCGTGGGCGGGAATCAAACTCTGGTTGTTGGATTCACAGTGCAATAAATAGATACGAATCGATTTTCTTTAAATATTTTGTTCGTGTGATTCAATGGACGCTTCGTGAGCTTAAGAATCAAATCAGTCGATTCATCATCGTTCCACTCCTCGCGGCTCGGCCGTGCATAATGAAAGTTTCAAATGTTGTGTGTGAAATGATGAAACCTGTTAGAGTACAACACCGCAGCGATGATTCACTATTATATAATATAATTGTGTATTTTTTTTTATTGTGGACATTTGTTTACCGATCATTTACATTAAACCGTTGCATTTTCCGTGCAAGGTTATAACAATGCAGTAGAAAATATCCGCTGTTATTGTCGATCACGTTTTTACAAGCACGATTCGTTGTTGTGTTTTCTGTGTAAAGAATGCATCATTAAAGTGTCCGGTGCATTATTTTACAACGTCTGTTATTTTGTCATCAGGGCTTCAATTCGACTGTGCGTCTCAAGCTCTTAACACACTTTGTTTGCTCACACACAGTGGTGTTAATTCCACATTCCTATGAAAGGTTTCAATAAAAATTTAACACCAAAACAAATTACAATACCCTGATGGGATGTTCTGTTAGTTCCTTTCAATAACAACAACAACGTACTTACGATAATTACGAGTGAAACCATAATATAATTTATCCAAGAAAGTATTGCTCCGTTTTTTTCCCAGGAGGGTCTTGCAAACTGGATGTTTGTCCGACACCTCTTTAAATGAGTATTTTACACGTAGAATGAACCCCAGAGTTCCTGGAGAAGATCCACACATACGACGCGAAAACACTCACAGGTCCGCACAGATGGGCTCATGATCCACTTGATGTACTGCCATACCCTGGACACCTCACTGTCCAGCGGGCTTGCCAGTTTCACAAATCTACATGGACCCACCAACCCTTCCCTCTAATATTTTGGATCACAGGCTTCGGCCGCAACGCTCGGCCACAGTGCTGTGCTTAGTCGAAAAAACTTGGCACATTCATCAATTATATAATATGTAAAAATACATACAAAAAATTGCGCTCTAAAGTGTTTTTTTCTTAATAAATTAAGTGGGGAAGTAATAAAATAATAAAAATAAAATATTATTTTATTACTTCCCTTCTACGTGACTTTACCGAAAGAACCAAGAAGATGAATCCCTGCAGTCACGAAAGCTTTAAATCGAAAAATAAATTAGGTGTTATTATGAAGGACCATTGCCCCAAAAGGTGGCCCATTCTATATATCAGCGGTCGGGAAGCTATGGCTCGCGAGCCATATATGGCTCTTCCAGTGACGGCATATGGCTCCCAGACAATTTTGAGTTGAAAAAATAATAATAAAAAAATCAGTACTATATGGCTCTCAATGAAATATATTTAGAAATATTTGGCTTTTATGGCTCTCCCAGTCAAAAAGATTCCCGACCCCTGCTATATATTGATGCAACTCTCTCATGAAATCACGGGGGTTCTGCGCAACCGACAATGTGCTCGTCAGGCGAAACAAACCACGGATCATCTCCTGAGATGCCCAGCGGCACCACAGTGCACTCCTCACGACCTGGCAATGCCAACACCAGAAGCAGTCGCCAGTGCAGAATATTGGTAAAAGACTGTATAGGTTGAACGAGAGACACGAAGAAGAAGATTCTATATATTTGTTTTACTTTTAAGTCCACATGTGAATGTTTGTTAGTTGATAATTGTTTTTTACACTTTTATCTGGCAACAAAACTGACACCTTTTTTTACAAGGAGTCATGTTTGCATTGACCACAATACCTGCAGTCGGAATGCAAACAAAAAACATAACTCTGATAATGTATACACTTTTTTTCTGAGAAGAATAACCGAGAAGATGGATTCTGGCTTAGCAATCATTGGAAGGACGTAATTAACAATTTCGACACACATTAGGGTGGGTAGAATAATACAGTGTTATATTAAATGTATAAGGTATAGGTTGGTTTACAGCAATACAGTATATAATTTAATGTTGGCAGTATATAGTACGGTATATGCTCGTGTGATGCAATAGAATAAAGTTTAGATGGAAGCATATTATATAATTTTTAAGACGTAGAATTGTAATGTATTACTTGATGTTAGTAACTCAGCTTATTGTAGAGTATAGTAAGTATACTGATGGTGCTATGCAATTTATACTTTAGTTTTTTATGTAGTTTATACTTTAGTTTTCTACGTGTTGTTGAGTAACTGCAGCTACATATCATTAACATTCCTTTCCTTTGTTACTGCTAATCCCTGCACCCCCCCTTGGTGCTGCTGATCCTGCATAATGCATGGGCATAATATGACTTTGAAACCCCCCCGCCCACCTCCTACGCATTTACCATGAATATGCTAAATTCCTCTTCATATGCACATTCTTTTGTTAAGGCGCTCTTCTTCCACCTCCAACGCAGCTTATATATAAGCTCCTAGCTTGGCATTGTCTCATTCTTCACCTGAAGACGGCTGCTTGCGTTGTAGCCGAAACGTCGTGAGAATTATTTTATTTTATTATGTTTTATTTTTATTATTTTATTACTTCCCTTCTACGTGACTTTACCGAAAAAACCAAGAAGATGAATCCCTGCAGTCACGAAAGCTTTAAATCGACATGTATACACTGTTCTTGAAATTGATTGGTCCACACCCGAGACAGCTTTCTTTAGAGCCTAGTCTCTAAAAAAAGGTGTCAGTTTTGTTGCCAGATAAAAGGGTAAAAAAAACAATCATCATATTTTGTTACTGGCAAATGAGGTTCCAATGGTGTAAATGTTTGTTAGTTGTGCTTGTGCACCGCTGCCAACGCAGAGTCTCCAAATAAATTAGTCAGAAGGCTGAGAGTCTCATGGACTCACAAGGGGGGCACTTGCTCGTTTTGGTTGATCAAGTCGGTGCATTTCGTCAGTGCGGGTTGTACTGGTTAAAGCCACGGCCAAAGCCTCATTGCAAAGAATGCTTCCCATTCTATCACGGGCTTATGTAAGGAGAAGAGATATCGAGGAACGAGCTAATCGATAATGACTGCATACAATAATTTAAAGCGATGTAATCGAGCGCACACCTCTGAGAAAGCATAAAAGGAAGCAACGAAATTAACAAATACATTTTAAATCAGCAAATGCAGTGTACAGTATTGAAGAACAACACCACGTAATTAAAAACAACAGAATGCAGGATAGTCTCGTTAGCAGAGGGCAACGTTATCATGATCGAGCTGCGGAGTGCAGACTGCCACGGTGTGTCATTGTAAGCACCGGGCTGAGGGCAGAGTGCAAGAGGATTTGAGAGCAGCTGACAGCTGGCAGGAGTATTTTTAAACCGATACCTACTGACCTACCCCAATGAATATGGTAAATATATATCTGTCATCGTCAGCCATGATCGATTCACCGCTGAATGGAGGCATCTCTCTCTCTCCTAGCTGTTGTTGCCATCACTCGCCGATTCGCCGATGTGACAACAACAACACACCAGCACCGAACACGTGCTGACTTGTATTGTTCCATCTCCAGGGGGAGATGCCCTCTCTGGTGCGTCTCCTCCATTGGCTTCCATTCCACCGATATTCGCTATAGACATGCAGATTAATTAATACCGTGACAAGCAAATGAACCTCAATGCACCTAATAACGTCAGAGCTTGACTGACCATCGGCCACAATCGATTTCAGTGGCATGTCCTACTCCAAAAAAAAAAGATGTATTTAGGGACCGAAGATGAGAGGCATAAACCACTGCAAATTGGACGTGAGCCGGAGTCCGAGGGGTGTTTTTATTTTCTTTATGTCAGGTGTGTTTCAATTATATCCCTTCTCCCCCCACCCTGCCATCCCTTACTTAAACAAAATAATTTCCCCTTTTTCCCTTTCGGTAGGACCTAGGAACCCGTCTGCTTTGGGGCAGCAAGCCCCCGTCCCCCCATCTCTATAGCCCCTTGTTTTTCATAACCGGCGTGGCTTTACGTTGACAATATTGTATTTCTTTAATCCGCAGTGCGTTCTCTATTCCGTGGGCTCCTCTTTGCGTACGTCAATGTAATACCACGTTCACATCTCTCCATGCCTTTTTGTTGTTGCTGCTGCTATATTACATCTACAATATAGGGTTTTTTTGTTAGACCGCGTAAATATATAAACGTGTCGTTAAACCCGCCACGATTCGACACAGCCAACTAGTAAGGGTTGTCACGTAAACAGAACGTGCCAATTCGTCACTAGGACAGCACTAGTGTATAGTGTAGTGTAAAGTGTAGTGTATAATGTAGTGTATAGTGTAGTGTACTAGTACAGCACTAACCGGTGTGTTGGAGAGCCAAGCCACAGCATTTATAATCTGAGTACGACGTTTCGCCAGTAAGTACAACCAGCTTCATCAGGCGACAGACAGATTTGTGGAGAAGTCCACCTGTTTCTGTTTCGTTCCTTAAATAGAGGCGTAGAACTGATGACAACGTTGTGCGCTCTTCTTGCGCGAAGTGGGAGGGGGGGTATAAATGACTACGGGTTTAACGACACATTTATATATTTACGCGATCTAACCCCAAAAACCTTTATTTATGTTTATTATTCCATCTGTCAACCACAATGCCACCCTGCCGAGTGTGTGTAGTGAGACATCTGACCACCATATTCTTGAGTTTTTTCGGTAAGTCACGTAGGTAAAAAAATAAAATAAAAATTAATCAAAGTAAAATAAAAATAAAATAAAAATCGCGACGTTTTTATTAATTTTTATTTTATTTTTATTTTACTATTATTAATTTTTATTTTTTACCTACGTGACTTTACCGAAAAAACCCAAGAATATGAATCCTTGCAGTCACAAAAGCTTCAAATCTAGAATATGACCACCAGGGGGCGAGCACACTGCTCCACGTGGCGCCTCAGCTCGAGGGCACGAAAGCGATCGACAACCAGTAAATAAAATAATAATGTACATTTCTTTACCCTTTGGTTCTTTCGGTAAAGTCACGTAGGTAGAAACATTTAATAATAATATGTCAATAACATGTCAAATAATATATGACATTTCTTTGTACGGCACCTTCAAACGAATGTCCTAAGGCGCCTTGTAAGAATAAGGAGATGGAAAGAGAGAGAAGCTGACTTAGTAAGATGTTGCTGTTTAAAGAACGAGACTTAAAAATATCCAAAATTATCAGATGAAGGAATTTCCAACGGGAAGGGAAATCCCATGACCGTGGCGCATACACATCGGTCGTTCCCTGCACAATCCGGGGAAGGTATTCCCACTCATGCAGCCAGCTATGACTGCAGAGTTTGGTAGTACATGTTGTTCACGTCGTTTATTGTGAAAATTCGGTCACAGTTCCTATGATCACTGTTTCATTGTTTTTATGGCTTTATTTTGGTGATTTTCGAAAAGTGTTTTGGTTTGGTCATGTTTGTT